TTGTCGAATAGTCACAAATGCTAACAAGTGAGAGAGGGTGCAGTTTTCGAATATCTTCCCTATTTTCTCGATCTTTCTTATCATCTCCTTGTTTATGTGATACGTCTTCGAGATAATTGAGATCTTCTGTCGTGAATGCGTCAGAGTCGATATCAGTCATGATATCTACAGCTGCACGCATATTCTTTCTCGTGAGACATACAACCGCATGAACATACTCCTGTGAAAGCTCATTGTAGATACCAGTCTGAAGTTGTAGATCCGCTAGAGCGTGTCCGAGAATATTCCTGGCGGCGTTATGTGTAGAGAGCATCAATTTCTGTATAAATTCATCGAAATTGCATTTTGCCAGACCCAAGTCGTAGGCGGAAAGACGACCTCTTATCTCTGCTAGCTGGTCATCAGCAGTAGCGATTTTTCTTTTCGCGTGGAAGTATTTGTTTCTAAGTCTGACGTCATCAAAAACCTGTTTATGCAGATCAAAACCTTTGACAAATTCCACTTCTTCCTCTCTTTCTTCTGAGATCTTCAGACGCTGCTCCACTAGCTTTTTAATCTTATTCATGTGGTTAGCTTGTCTAGAATTACATTTGTAAATTGCCTCTTCCAGATTGGTAGAGGTATGAACCAAATGACTATATGCTAGATTAGCCCACCAGAAAAAGCCTTTAGAAATCCACCATTGTGTATCCACGGCCCTCTTTTCGGGAAGATGATATTCATAATTGAAGTCTATCGGACGTTTGCTAGGATCATATGGTGAAGGATCCTTAACTCGACCTTCAATCTCTCTCATGGTATCCCGAATCGCTTTAAATTGCGTCTGTACTGAACTCATATATTTTCTAGTTGCGGTGAAGTTTTCCAAAACATTGAATAAGTCTCTTTCCATTCTCTTGACGCGACGAATCAAGACTCTCGCTTCGGCTTCTGCGGCTCTCTCAGCGTCCGTCCTTATGCGACCGGCTGCTTTCTCTAGCACACCAATTTCTTTCAATCGTTGATCGATTTCTTTAGATGCCTGAGAACACTTGTTGAGTTCCTTTTTATATTTTACTATTGCTGTAGCCCACCAGGTACGAAGACCGGATAATTCCTGCTTCAAATTGAGATATCTTTGACTTTTGTGTAATATATCCTGAGTAGATTTTTCTGAGAGTGAGCGATTGTCCTGAGAGGGCAATTCACTATCAAGCTGTGAGAGTCTTCCAGGCGAGATACCTTCGGGTGCCGAGTCAATCAGTTTCACAGTCTCATTGAATGCCTCTCTCTGAATATCTGTCATATCGGCTGTTTCCCTTTCATCTAGAACTTTTCGACAGGATATGATAGTGTTTCCAAGCTCGGCTTGTGCTATAGCCATGGCAGCATCTATCTTGTAGAGGGTTTCAACGTTTAAGGGAGCAGCACCAATGCTTGGTTGGTCTGATGTCCCGCCTAAGGTTGATTCGTTCGGATTATCCATGTTGAGGAAACGAATGATTGTACTGGTCTGGTGAAATAAGTACTATCTATTCGTAAAATCGGTGTGAGGATACCTCCTATTTGTGAGAAAATAATGATATTCAAAAACGTTTAAGGTAAGAACTGCAGTGGTTATAGTGATGTTGGAATGCAACAAAGACCTCTTCGGTTTCTTTAATGGACGCATTGCATTTTGACCGTCTCTTTGTCATTTCACCCAGATGACATTCCTCATGGTCGTCTCTAACAAGGAAATAATAACCAAATTTCACACCGTAGGTCAATAGGAAGCTGAGAAAAGTGTTATGGATATGTTGAAGAACCGCCCTATCTCCTCGTGAAAGTACTATAATTGAAGTTGGCATAGATTAAACTCGCAGTATTAAAACATGATTTGACAGCTACGCGAAGTAAGCCGACGTCAGGATACGGTAAGGGACCAATTTCCCCGTAGCTTTTGACAAATCTCAAAATTTGTACAACAAACAGCTTAGGAACCCCATTTTTTCTCCAGCTCAAGTAATGACTTTACGGTTTCCACTGTGGATTCTTCCAAAGTCCTGTATCTCCAATCCTGACCTTTGGCCTGCCGGAAGATCTCCAAGCTTCTAGCGTTATTCAATGGAGTCGGATGTAAACCTTTTGGGAAAACTTGTTTCTCATCACCTCCTTTGGGCAATCTTGATTCCAATTCCGGGAAATTTTTCCGAATGGCATTCACAATTAACTGTGGTGAAAGAGGACCGGAGTACATGATGTTACGTGTATTAGCCATAAGTGGAGATTCAAGCGCAATAATGTGTAATAGAGCTACATCGCGAACATCGACCTTTAGATTGATTAGTTTGATAAAAAGCAAGAAGAATGTAGTATACGTAGACTGAGGAAGACCGAACTTACAAAATCCCAGAATGCAAACACGGCATCATCGACTCTCTTGTGAGTGCCATTAATGAATGCATAACAAGCGAACCCATTGGTTTCATTAATGTTTTTGGGACTAGGGACGGGTTGAAGCATAGGGCCAATAATGACATCGGGATTGATCACCACAAGGTCAAAAGCCGGCTTTTTTTCCTTGATAAAAGACCACTGTAGTTAAACTGTCAGCGACTACAGGGAAATGAAGTAAATTGACGTGGAAATGTGTCCTTCGGCTTGGGAAAGGGTGTTCTCACCGCCGCTAGTTCAGCATTCTTCTTGCCAACATTATATCCGAGGAGAGGGCTTTGTGTTGATACTGCATCATGCTCAGTTGCCTGGAGGTAACATTAGTCATGATGTTATTGTGAGGTGCATGGAGACGAACAGGATTCCAATCATCTTCTGTATAAGCCTTCCCTTCAGGAGCATTCAAGTCTTCAAACGAATCAAGAATAGAGACAGCACTTCCAAGTAGCACGAAACGCTTGACCTGCTTGCCCCCTAGTTCATGAGTAGCTTTAAGGATCTCCATAGTGCTTTGAAGTACTTTAGACATTGGTGACAAAAGTTGGTAGAGCTGTATACTCACCCATGAACAGCAGGATCAATCAAGTCTTTTTTCACGTCCTTGACTGAAAAAGTAACTGGAGACGCGGTATGGATAATGTAATCAAAGCCTCCTTTTTCCTCTTGGGCTTTGAAAACATGATCAAAGGCACCAGGTGTTGTGATCTCAGGGACAAACACAAATTCCACCTTTCCTCTCCATTCCGGATGAAGTTCGAGAATTTGATCAGCTTTTGAAGAGGACCTAACACTAGCAGTAGGCTTGTATCCGTACTAGAAATCCATTAGAGACTCAATCGATACAAATAGATGCAAATGGAAGAGTACCTCAATCAGAAGGGAGAGGATATGAGAAGCTACGAAACCACTGGCTCCGGTCAAAAGGACAGATTTTCCTTCGGCAGACATAGTGTTTTATTGTTTTTATAATTTCAAGTTGTGTTGTAAGTTAAGAAGAGGTCGGAAGAGAAGTTGGCATGATATACTCTCGTTCTTCAGGACCTTCCCAAATCTTCAATGCTTTGTCACAGGATTTGAATCAGATACGTTGACTAATCGCGCCATACAGACATTCCTCCAAAGCATGCTATATTGAGGGTGAAATGTAAGATCCGCGTTTAGAAGGCTTTGTCGCTGATCAATGATTAATGTGATTACCCCGCTTGGGTAGTAGGAAAATCCGAAAGCGGGCCGGAAACGATTGTAATTATTTTGCAAGTATTAGCGAGTGAAATGGTGAAAAAGGCCTGGTGGGCCAATTTTAATGCTTAAAAGTGTAGTAGCAAATTATAGCTGTAATAGGCATTCTAGTGCTTCGAGATGATCACTTACCAATTCAAAACTGGATACTGCGTAACATCTGGTCGACTCAGGGTGAGACAGAGGCAATGAGGGGTATCTTACGATGGCCCCAGTTAAAACATGCGTCATCTCTATGCCTTATAGATAGAAGGAAATATCATATTGCAAGGAAAAAGAGTATTCATTTTCTAGAAGTCATACAGTACAAATACTACAACTGATAGATATTGTAACTGTCTCCTCAGCTAGTTGACGGATAAACTGTGCCTCCAATTATGAACCACAGGATGAGTGAGGTCTCTGAATCATTCCAGCTATCTTGATGAATACGACCAGAGACAGTTCTATCGAGTCAACTTTATAAAATGTATGAATACAGAATCAACCAATACGCACTTGCGATATCAAACTCTTGAAGTGTCGTTATTTTTCGACGGCCTAGTAGCTATAACCTTACTATGACAAGATGAAAAGTATCTAGAGCTTGAGATGCTTTCTACTCTGCTCGTCTGGAAGTAAGTGATACAAAAACGATATCGACAAAGTCTCTTCCCAGAATAAATCCACATAGTCATCCATCCTGCACGAAATAACACAAAAGCATACCAATAAACATCATCATTGCGATGATTGATGATTCCATGCGTACTCTGTTAACGTTCTATCATCGCACAAGTTTGCGTTTCCAGTTGCCTCAAAATAAAACCCTTGACCATAAACTTAATCTTGACCGCCCTTCTCCCTTCTCACCCCCTGTCCCTTTGAAGCATTGTATTGCGTTGATTTCCCCACCAGAACCCACCCAAATCCAGCAGATCCACCAAACACTCCCCCAATACATGCCACGAGTTTCATCCATCCATCGACTCTCGAGCAACTTTGATTCCTCTTAAGCTTCCTTCTCATATCTGTTCATCTGAGAGCTTTGATTTGGAATTCTCATCATTTGTCGTTTTTAAAGTACATACTAGTCAGCCTAGTATCTGCCATTTTCATTTACCTTCCTTCTATCCATCTTCAACTCATAAACTCATCCCTTCAAAATGGCAACTGTCAAGACCATCCCCCCCGGAGCAACTTTCATCGATACGCTCGATAAATCCTTCGTGGACGTCCCCGTCAACAAGGAAAAAGACAATGCGATTTCCACGACTGAGTTTCTCCAAGCTGCAGATTCTCTCACTACTCTCTTTGGTAGCTTTCCTTCCCTTCCCTTCCATCTATCTCCTTCTCCCTCTCGAGAGAGCATCGAGCTAACCAATTATCCGCAGATGTGATGGGATCCGTAGCATTCAACCCCGTTAAGAACGACATGGGTGGTAACATCAAGGTATATTTATTTCTTTATTTATATATATATATATATCTATCCCTTCCTTAAGACAAAACGACAAAAATGCTAAGAAAACCTGCAGAAACTCCGCGAGAGACAACTCGCTGCACCAGCAGAATCAGAGACTCTTCAAGACTTAGTCATTAATGAGCTCAAGACCAAGAAGCACACTGCTACTGAAGGATTAGTCTGGTTGGTTCGGTATGTAATTTTCTACATTTTTACATTTCTACAAATCACAATATTCTATATCCCCCATCATCCATCCATCCATCCACACCATGCAATTACACAAAAGACACCAAACCCCCAATTCCCAGAAACCACCCCCCCCCCCCCCCCTCTCCATTTCACCCCTTAAAAACAAAAACAAAAGAAACACTCCCCCCCCACCTCACAGCGGTTTAGACTTCACCTGCATCGCAATATCGCAAAACCTCTCCGCGCCCTCCGATGAACTCTCCGTCTCCTTCCGCAACGCATACGGCGAAACCCTCAAACCGCACCACTCTTTCATGGTAAAACCTATATTCAGCGCCGCCATGTCCGCATGTCCTTACCGCAAAGATTTATACGTCAAGCTTGGCGATGACAATTCGAAAGTGGAGGCTGCGTTGAGAGTTTGGTTGGGTGCCTTGGAGAATTTGATCGCTATTTTGAAGGGGTTCTTGGACAGGAAGGAGGCTAAGTGGTAGAGTGGCTGGGTAGATAGGTAGATGGGCCGGGGGATATTAGATTTATTCTAGGGGCTAGCTACAGGACGTGGATTTTGGGCATGAGTGAGTGAGCGAGTTAGCAAGCAAGCAAGCGATGAAATATTTTGGACGAACGACTCGATATGAGTGAGGATAAAGCGTTTACAATTTTGGGGAACTAGCAAAAAATTCCAAGGAAGAGAAGAGAATATCAATACAAACTGTGCAGGCAGGCATGACAGAAACAATGCAAAAAGTAACTATAGAAAAGTGTTTTGATTTCATAAGTGCATGCTAATCTTTACTTCATTGATCCCTTCGAGGGACACTGCCTTTTTTTTGTTCATTATTGCCCATACGCCTGCCTACGTCTTGAAATGGTATAAAAATCATATCGGTCATTTATTTGCCCTGTCCCTTCAGGTCCCTTTCGCAACACACACACCACTGAGTTCCATCCATTACCATCTCATGCGTCGAGATCGCACCGAATCTCTTGACTGCTGATATATCCAGTATCTATCTTACTATTACTTTTGATCCTCATCAAAACCCCATTTAAAGGATTTCCTTCTCGTGAAGAAACCCCTCTGGTTTGGATGTCTACCCGGCGCGGTGAATGAACCCTACTTCTGTGATAGCTTCCAGGCGGGTATTTTGTTTCTTTTTTGACTTGAAAAAGCAACGCTGGATAATTGTGTCCCACTCACCAACACCAACATCAACACCGGCACGAAGTACCAAGTACCCCCCTATCTACCTCTCCTGAGTATTCTTCTACGCGCTGCCCGCAGTAACTGGCATCCTCCTACGTAGGAATAAACCAAATCTTGTTTTAAACCCACGTAAAACCTATCTCTCTTAACTTTGCACATTGTTAATTCCGGTTTCCTGCTCTCGCTCTCTTCCGCCTGTTCCTGTTCCTGTTCCTGTTCATTTTCATCATCGTCCTCATCTACTTCCGTAATCGTAACGCTTCCCGCGAGATTCGTGGAAGAACTTGCACCCGTACCGCTACTGGCGAATCCAAAATCTTTGTCAAAATAAAGACCAATCTCATCGCTTCCCTCTACATCATCCAAACCTACAGTTACCAATTCTGTCGCATGTCCCGGACGCAAACTTGCTCTTAATCTTCTTCTCGCGCTGTTTTTACTATCGACCGCGATACTTAATTTTTCGAGATCGGGGAATAATTCTCGGATTCGGTGTTGTGGTGTTGGGAGGTCGCTTGCGACTACGGCTACAAAGCGCATGTGCAGACTGTCTAATGCTACGTTTTTCCATCCTTTCATTGGCGCGATTGATTTTGGCGTTTCGTCCAGGAGGAACCATCTCACGTCGAGAAAGATCGATGCCACGCAATTCAGGAATAGAGTATCGATGGTAGGATTAAAATAGAATGGGGTAATTCCCGCAACGGCTTCGCGAGGTTCCGCCACGGGCGGCGGATCATAAGACATGAGACTGTAGTGGGCTAGAGCCACCTCTCTTGATTCCCGACATGTGTGCAAAAGCGTAGGAACTCGTCGCCGGTTGGATCGAAGTTTGGTTTTGAAGTTGTAAGGTGAGCTGGTCGGACAGCTGGGGTATAATTCGTGAACGAGCGGATCGGGTAAAGCCTGCCTCCATATCAAGAGTCGAAGTTCAGTGGGTAGGGTAGGGAAGGCCACAAAGCGTCGGGTGAATTTCGCGGTAATAGTGGTAGATAGTTTATTTAATGCTTTGTTTTTCTTTCTTGGAAGAGTATTTGAAGACGCTGGCAGAGGGTTGGATGTGTTATCGCTTCCATTTGCTACCGATGAATCTGAAATACTATTCTTGGATATCATGGTTGTCATGGTCGGTAATAGGCTTGATGTAGATAGATATGTGGTTCCAATGCTGATGGGTATATCAAAATGCCAAACAGATCGTGATGCCAGGACTGGATATCGGATATGGGATATTGAAGAATATCAAATATTAATCCAGAGGGGATTTAAGTATCACCGACTTGTGATAGTTGGTAATGTATATGATGCAAGGCAAAAACAACATCAATGCCGAGATTGAACAGGTCCGAGGTGATAGGTAGGGTAGGTAGTGTGAACAACTTTTTAAGTACGAAGAAGCGTGGTGAATTAAAAGGAATAAATGAATATCAATCAATACTGCAAACAAAGTCGATTATTGGTCATTGGAGAAATTATTAAGTACTGAAGAAACATTTGCAAAAACATTTGCGAGGCTAATAAGAACATGAAACAATACAAGTACTCTGGAAAAAGTGAAAGAAATGCTTTTTCAAGTCATAACCTATCTTTGAGTGATTATGGATTATGGATTATGGTGAGGAGAGGAGAAACATGAAGCGGGGAGCGCACGCAACACAAACAAGGCTGAGCATTAGGGTCATTATTAGTCAGGGAGTAGCTAGGACTAGCAGTGAAGAGACAAACCGGTAGATAATAAGTCTCACGTTGGGAAATGTTTTAAATTGACGATAAATACTTGGTCTGAGTATTATATCATCATAAATACTAGGTATGATGGTTGATACTGTAGCTCAAAATCTTATTATTAACCTTACATCAGTTACATGCTTTTTGGTGGGACTTTTAATCTCGCATTTGGAAGTCATCCCTTTTATGATTCATTGAAGCCTCTTGATGTTTCCCATCACCTCGTCCACTTCTACCATATCCTACTAGTTTTCTCGAACCAGTATCTTATCCTCTCTCTTTTGTTTGTGAATCAAATCCTCCTATACGAAATAATTTTACAAACACCAATCTCTCAGCGCCGATTTATTAGATTGGAGGGTTATTGACTCGGTCGGGTCTTCTTTGCTCTGTGTCATCCGTATTCCGTTGCAATTGCCGTTAACTCCACAGCTCACTTCTTTCAAGCCTCTCCACCCCAAATCGACAAGGAGTAATTTGGATTAATTAATCTGACATCATATGTCTTGTACCTTTCTTTTTATCATACCACAGAAACTCTCAAAAAGCACACTATCGTGGCCTTTCAACCACCGAACAATAACTTTACTCCCATCAGCTTGTGCCTCGAGTGTCTCCAAGGAGATCTTGAACCCAAAGGACATATCTTTAGCCAAAAGTTCCGAGTGAGGAGTTGAATTTCCATCATTAGTATCACTTCTGTGTCTTCGTGACGCTCGAGACCAGACAGCCTTATCACAGAAGCCTATGCCTGTGAAGAGTGTCGATTCCCAGCTCCATATAGGGATGAGTCCGGATAACGTGCCGTGTAGACGTGTAGCAATGGCGGTTTTATCATGCGCATTAATCTATAGATCAGTTAACATTCAAGATACCCAAGGTGAAATCCATGGACAATTTAGACCTACGGTAATCGTCTGCTCTGCTGGGAATGGCAATAAACTCTTTTGTAAACTTCCGCAGCCACGAGATACTGTCATACTCGGCCTTTTATCATCAAAACTCCATGCAACCGCCCACCTTCTCGTTTTACTGCCTTGTACAAATTCCGTGACGGCATAGTTATCGACTTTATTTTCCTTCAGCTGCTCAATGACTTTAGACAGACTAGAGAATTTTCCTAGCATTGAAGTATACCATTGAACCTGATTTCGCAGTTGTAAGGATTCATCAATCATCCTTGAAACAAAAGAGACTTCACCACCTTCGCAGACCATTTCTGTTTCAGAGCCAGTACAGGCCGTAAATGGGGAACGTTGTTTGAGGGACGCAGAGGAAATTAGGTCTTCAGCTGAAGTATAAAATGGCGGATTGCAAAGAGTAAAGTCTAAACTTGGACTTATCAACAAAACATCATTTCTTCTATGGAAAAAGTAATAAGTACCTATGGCAGCCTATCTCATCGAGAGGTATCAGTGGGTCCTGTTGTTTGGTCTGGATCAGCTGAATCCGATTTTGTAGCCCATTGATTTGAACATTCGTTTTAGCGAAGGTAATGCTCCTATCGTCAATATCTGAGGCAATTTAATAGCCACCTCTAATGATGAATTAAGGGGCCAAACCTGTTCCGGTGAATCTCCACAGAGGGCGTTGAGCACAACCCAAAAGTGGATATATACAACTTGCACCTGTGCCAATATCGAGCCCACGAATCTGACGATTAGGATCGTAAAAGTCCGTATACATATCACTTGATGTATCAAGAAGATCCTGCAGCCAAAGTATGTAATTCAATCGATTAGGTACCTTAAATCATTCAGCTTTGACCAATGAATGATATATAGACATGATTGGAGACCATAGTAGACTTACTGGTGGACAGAGCCGGTCATCTGGAAGCGTCAAATCCAGATGGAAGTCTCGCTTTAACAGAGATTTTGTGAGCTGCTGGACCGATTTAGGATCGCTAAAATCCAATTGACCATTTGACTTCAAGCTGGAAAGCATTCAGCTGGTGCAAAGCAAGAATCTAACAGACTGATATTACAATGAAAGATATTTGAATAAATTGCTCACAAGTAAGTGGCAAGACAGAGGACAAAATTTCCAATTGATTGGGAACCTACAATTTGCCAAAATCTGGGTCTTCTCTTCCCAGAGCTGCGAAGTCGATATTCTCCTTGTAGAAATTTGTAGTTGCCGACATCTTTGGATTTTATCAATGTAAATGAACCAGTGATGATAAAGTAACTATCGAGACCGCGGAATTTTGGATTAACACAAAATCTTCAGATCTAGATACTTCCGTTAAGATAGGAAGAATAGAAGAGATGGAGACTAGTGCACCTTGAAGATAATGGATATGATTAGTAAGCAAGAATAAAAAGGCGGGGCGTGGAGGGGTATAGAGGGGTAGCTTTTGGGAATAACTTCACATGGTCTATCGACACAATTTTGGAATCATAAGCTGTATTTTCCAAGCAACTATCCTAGCATCAAAAACTAATAATCCAGGAATGTCATCAATCATAATTTCTCATAAATCGTCACAATTTCTCATCATCCCCAGACTTCTGCTTCTTTGCAGCATGTCCTTCATCCTCAATCGGTTCCTTGGTTGGAACTTCCGGAAGCTCAACCTTACTCGCCTCTGCATCATCCTTGGCATTATCAGTACCCTTCTCCAACACACCTCCATTCTCAGCAGATTCAACCTCATCGACTTCCTCCCATTCCTCTTCGGCATCAGGTTCTGTTGAGGGGAAGATACGTCTGTGAATTACTGTTAATTAAACTTATTGCATTAGGACAATGAGGAACTACTCACGGAATCCATTTGTTGTAAGCGGCAACATCCTTAGCAACGAAGGTGCAGAATATAATCTTCTCCATCTTCGAGCCTTTCTCACTTTCGAGAAATTTCCTAACAGTCATAAGAGCGACAGGAGCAGCTTCATCACTAGGATAACCATAAACTCCGGTGCTTAAGGCGCTGAAAGCGATAGTCTTGCAGTCATTCTCAACGGCTAGATCCAGACTTGTCTTGTAGCATCCTTCGAGTTTCTCCTCAGAAACATCCGGCCTATAACTGTCGTAGACCGGTCCGACGGCATGGATGACTTTCTTACAAGGAAGTTCATAGGCATCAGTAATCTTAGCGGATCCAGTCCTACAACCATTCAAAGTTCGACATTCCCTCAACAAGTCTCGTCCAGCAGCACGATGAATAGCTCCGTCAACACCTCCTCCACCAAGTAAAGAATTGTTGGCGGCATTAACAATTGCGTCAACTTCGAGATGGGTAATGTCACCACGGATCAAGCCGATGCGATCATTAAAAGATTGATTTGGAGTCGCAGTGAATTCGTCTGTAGTATCTGCTTTGTAGGGAGTCAACTTCTTCAAGTGATAGAGAAGTGACACAGTTGGGATCTCGGCAGCTGGTATAGTAGACATGATTTTTTTGATATTTAGCATCAATATAATTATGTAGATCTAAGTTTTATTTTTGAGTACTAGGTAGGTATATAGATAGATACCTAAGAGTTCTTGGAAAGTGAAGTAAGACTAATATGAACTTAAGGCTGCAATACAATTCCATGCCTACTAGGTAAGGTAAGTTACGTAATAGAAGGCTATGGGCAATTATATGCACGGATCTCGTACCTTGCTCAGCCGAAGTACAAACCCCTGATTACCTAGGTCGAGATGTCGGGATGTCGGTGCTTATTAGTTCTACCTTAGCCTTGTCTCAATTTCAGCCCTTCAAACAATTTTGACTCATCCCCACTTCATTGACCCCTCCATATCAGCTTGTCCAACTAACGAAACGATAAGTGGAAAACCTTACTCGATTCTGAAATACCTGGACTCTGAAGAACTCATAAATTGTCCAGAGCATCAAACCATACCATAATTTAAAGTTATCGGATCTTATCGTTCACCATGGCCGACACAATCACCGAAGGAACGGCTAAGCTCCAGCTTGATGAGGAGACGGGGGAGATGGTCTCGAAGGCCGAATTGAAGAAAAGATTGGCAAAACGTGCGAAGAAAGCAGCACAAGCAAAAGCAAAATCGGAAGCACCATCTAAAGAAGCTGCTGCACCTAAGCCTAAGAAAGCAGAAGAGGCCAAAGCAGCAGAGCCATCAAATGTATTCGCTCAGGGATTCCTCTCAGAAGTGTACAAAGAGCGTCCCGTGAAACCAGTCTTCACTCGATTTCCACCAGAACCTAATGGATACTTACATATTGGTCATGCCAAAGCTATTGCGGTCAATTTTGGATTTGCTAAATATCATGGCGGCCAATGTTACCTGAGATTCGACGATACCAATCCTGAAGCAGAAGAAGAGAAGTATTTCACAGCGATAAAGGAAATGGTTTCATGGTTAGGCTTCACACCTTACAAGATTACACACTCAAGTGATAATTTCGATAAGCTCTACGAGAAGGCAGAGGAACTCATCAACTTAGGAGGGGCCTACGTCTGCCACTGTGGTGGTAAGAAACTTTGCGCAAGCAGCTGATACCGACAAATACTAACGTATTCTAGATGCCGAAATCAAAGCTCAGCGAGGAGGTGAGGCACGAGGCCCAAGATTCAGATGCGAGCATGCGAACCAATCCGTCGAAGACAACCTGAGAAAGTTCAGAGCTATGCGAGATGGCGAGTATAAACCTAGGGAGGCATTCTTGCGCATGAAGCAGAACATTGAGGATGGAAACCCTCAGATGTGGGATCTGGCAGCATACCGCGTGCTGGATGCCAAGCATCATTTAACAGGAGACAAGTGGAAGATTTACCCAACATACGACTTTACTCATTGTCTTTGCGATAGTTTTGAGAACATCACACATTCACTTTGCACGACCGAGTTTATTCTATCAAGAGTATCATACGAATGGTTGAATAGTACTCTGAAAGTATATGAACCGATGCAGAGAGAATATGGTCGATTAAGTATTACGGGTACTGTCCTTTCAAAGCGAAAGCTCAAGAAACTTGTAGACGAGAAATATGTCAGGGGTTGGGATGACCCAAGACTATACACCTTGATCGGAATTAAAAGACGCGGTGTCCCTCCTGGAGCTATTCTTGAGTTCATTAACGAACTTGGTGTAACGACAGCTCCTACCAATATTCAACTCTCTCGTTTCGACCAGAGTGTTCGTAAGTACTTGGAGCTCACAGTTCCCAGACTTATGTTAGTTCTCGATCCTGTACCTGTCATCATCGAGGATGCCGAAGAATTGGAGCTTGATATTCCATTCTCATCTAAAGTACCTGCAATGGGCAGCCATAAGGTCAAGTTGACTAAAACTGTTTATATTGAGAGGAGTGATTTCAGAGAAGTTGATAGCAAAGATTATTTCCGTCTCGCTCCTGGAAAATCCGTCGGCTTACTCCACATCCCATATCCTGTCAAGGCAATCTCATTCTCCAAAGATGGAGACAAGGTCACAGAAATTCGAGCTGTCTACGACAAGGAGGTCAAGAAGCCCAAGACTTACATCCATTGGGTTGCAGAGGGCTCAAAGAATGTGGAAGTTAGAATATTCAATTCGCTTTTCAAGAGTGAAAAGCCAGACGACGCTGAAGGTGGCTTTTTGAACGATATTAACCCTGATAGCGAGGAAATTTGGCCTAATGCTCTTATTGAATCTGGATTTGACGAAGTACGAAGACGAGCTCCATGGCCAGAAGCTGCTGGAGAATCAGAGCTTGGAAAGGGAGGTCCTGAATCTGTCAGATTCCAAGCCATGCGTGTAGCATATATGGTAAGCTACCCGATGTATGTTTATGTTTTGGAAGTTCATCTAACAATTTTTAGGCAATGGACTCAGACTCAACGGATGATAAGATTGTACTGAACCGTATTGTCAGCTTGAAGGAGGATTCTGGAAAATAGTGTGATTATGCGAGGAGACAGAAATACATCAATTGAGGATTGCGTGGGATACCAGAAATGAATTATTCATTACATAGCAAGTTACTTATCGTGTTAAAATATCCTGGCGTTACAGATAGAGTTAAGTGAATTAAATGAGATGAATGATTTTCCCTGACTGACCTTGCCTCGAAAATTGCTTCAACAGTTGCTGTATCAGTTAAGTTATTCCAAGAGCATCAGTTCAACAGCCTTTTTTGAATAGCGATCCGGCTAGAAAGAAGTTTTGTTGCACGTCTGAAAAGACCAAGGGACGTAATTAACTGTTTTCTTTTTTTTTTTCTTTCCAATTGACAAGAACAGCGAATTTTATAAGTTCAGCAACAACGCATTTGACGTAACTCGACAGGACTGTTGAAATTTTCACTCATCATGCATGTTTGCATCAATGATAGATCAGAAATGAAAGATGGGGACGGGTTTCGACAAATCATTTATTCTTTTCTACTATGGTATATTCTTTATAGTGTAAGTGCTAATGCGTGTGCCCCTGTTGCGTGGTGAGAAATTCGAAATCCCCTGCCTGATGATCATACAAAAGTTCCCTCCTGTTAACGCCTTATACAGAAATACAAATCTTCTATTCGAATACAGTATCGCCCTTTATGTATTCAAATCTCCTCTACACACTCTCCTCTGTTATCCTGGTATCCTCTCTCGCAAACGTCGCCTCCTTCATAAAGGGACTTCTTTTCCTAATTTCCTCTCCCTTAACTAATAACAATACCGGAGCTAAACTCAACACCAATGCGACGAACCCCAGCAAAGAACTTGCCCATTGAAATCCTAAATTTGTAAAGAGTGCTGGACTTGCCAGTGGTAAGAATGCGCCGAATGTATTTCTCCCCAAAGATGCAGCCGAGAGAGCAGATGCGTTGTATTTTTCGTAGGAATCGGTCAGGTAATTTACAACGGCTAGATAGATGGAATATATTCCGAAGCCCACACAGCCAATACCGAGTGTGGGGACGATCCAAGGGAGAGATGGATAGGAAGACCATCCGTACCAGAAGAGGCCGATGGTGAATAGCAGAGAACCGGGAATGGAGGAATAGAGTCGAGCTTCTGGAATGGGTGTTCCGGTCTTGGATCGTTTGGATGATTGCAAATATAGGTGGTCTTGGATGGGATTTATGATGGTTGCTACGATGGCGCCAACGCTGAGAGAGAGTTGGATGAGGGAGGTTTGAAAGGTGTTGTAGTTGTAATTTGTGGAGAAGGTTTGGGTGACGGAGGATTGGAAAAGGAAAAGAAGACCCCACGCGAATGATACCCAGAGAGTTTGCGAAAATACCACCCACTCCGTGCACAGCATTTTTACTGGACGTTTGAAAGAGATCTTAAGACGAGTCGCTATGGTTGGCACATCAATTTCGGTTTTTGCAAAGCGTGGCTCCTGGTCTGGATTCTCCTTGCGCCATTTTTGGGCTTCTCTAGCTAAGATTATATCGCCTCGAGTTTCTACCAAGAGAAACCAGAAAACGGGGAGGAGTCCACCAATAATTATAAGAAGGATCCAGTATATCCATCGAAAGGAAAGATATGTGGAAGTTATCGCACCGCCAACAAATGGTCCTAATGCAATCCCAATCACAGACGTCGTCCCAAATAACGATAATGGTAAACTTCGCTGTTGGGGACCTTTCCACACATCAGATATAGTACCCCCAACAATGTTAATAGCTACCGACGAAGCTCCCCCTCCGAAAAATCGACACACGACCATCGTTTCGAAGTTCTGCGCTACTCCGCAGGGTACCAAAAAGATAAGGAAAATTATATATGCGCCAAAGTATCCGGGCATGCGACCAGATGTCTCAGTCAGGGGGACAAATAGTAATGGTGCTAATGCAGCACCCATATTCCATGAAGTCGTAGCGAAGAATAAATATGGAAAGCCGGAATTGCTAATGTTGAATCGTGTGCTCATTTCGTCGTTTCCGGCTCCGTATGCTCCGGCTGGGAGACCGAATAGGATGGATCTGGGAGGATGTTTGTTAGAGATAGCTAGGTAGATATGTAGGTAATCAATTGATACTTAGCTAGGTATTAAATGAGCACCTACACGATCAGTACCGCAATAGTAAGTCTCCATTTCAGTAATTTCGACCAATTGAATCTGTACCCGCAGTTAGTATTCTCATCATAATACAGATAGATAGAGTGAAGAAGGCAACTCACGGATTCCTCGGATCTTCGTCTCCGTCCCAGTCATATAGTAGAGTTCCATCTGTATTTCGCTGCTCTGCGTTGGGCTTTTCTATCGTTATTCTAGGATCACTATCTATTTTTTCTCGATGTCAATATATAGGAGTGTTTGAGTTTGCTATAAGAGGAGATTCGGGGATATATATAGACTTACTATTTCCTGTATCTGCATATTCGGTACCTGTATAGCGATTTGTATATGGATTGAATTGGGTATTAGCCATTGTGTGTGTGTTTTAGTTACTTGAAGATATTAAAAAATTTGATAGACAACATGGTGAAAAGATGGATATCGCAGTTCTATATATATTTTCTTGTTAAATACATCAGGTCAACCAAGGATCTGATGTCCCTGATCTTGCTTGGCCCACGTCGTTATCCTACTATGTACGTAGAATGATCTAATGATTACATAGCCACTTTGTAAATTCTCTTGAGTTACTCACTCGAGTAAAGTTTGTTTTTAGTTTTTATGCTGAGTAACTTTAACTTTATTATTAGTTAAGTTAAGTTCTTAAGGGACTGAAGTATTGGTATAGTATTGGTTACCCCGCTTTGCGCAGCTCAGCAGAGCTTGGGAATGTGATGTCATTTTTTTTTGGATGTGTGAGGGAATCAATCAATGATCATGAGTCAGGGCGCTCATGGCTTATGATTGGAATTGTTCTTATACTTTTGAGGATGCATGCATGGAAGTATATATAAACTTTGGAGTTGAAGGGAGGGGAAATGCTCAATTGAGAGTATTAAGAGCTTATTAGCTTCTATTAATTTTCTAGAATTTAATCAACATTTGCCCCTGACTCCACTTCCAGAGTATTTTTCACAAGCGAAAAATTGGGGGTGGGTTTACTTGGTATTTATATTCGTACATAAATTCAATCTGACATGTTATTTTCTTGAATTACTTGCAACATCTTAAATTTTCAATTTAAAGAACTGTATTGATATGATATCGATATTCAATTTTGGAAGTAATCTAGAAATCTTTTTAATCAAATTATTACTAATTATACGCAGGAGATCTTTCGGACTCAGATAGGTTGGATAGATGTCGGGATGTTATATATGATGAAGTCTATATCCAAGAGAAAGGATCACATTCAGGGTAACTTCCTTTTCGAGCGAAATGGGTGAGATTTTGGTTATTAATTCCTTTCCTTTCAATTTTCTTTTCGATTATTTGGTCTGTACTCTTCCCCGAAATTATCAAGTTTCGATTTTAAGACCAAGTGTTGAAGTTGTGTTTGATTTCTAGTAAGAGGAAGTCATGGTAAATTATAGATGTATTAAGTATGACTACCTACCTTTAGGCAGCCAACCCATCTTACTATCATACGAAACACAGTGGAGATTTTAGTGCTGACGACCCAAAGACCTCATTATATCTCTTTCAAAAATTCGAGGCCCCCCTAGGTCCATTATCTCGGAGTCGATATATATGTGGTTTTTGTATAGTTATGAGGCAAGACTGAGAAGTGATAGTTATATGGTGAGTAAGTAAGGCTTAGGGATAATGAAAGTTTCGATACTGTTATGAGGAAGTGAGTGCGTATACTTGACATTTAGCTATTTATTTGCTTATTATGGAGAATTATTACTTTTTAGAAAGTACTAGCAGAGAGAAACAGACATGGAAAGATCCTGATGTTGGGATTGTCTTCTGAACTCATATAAATATGATCATATACTTTCCACATAATTGCTACCTTTGGGTCTTTGACAAGCGGATTCAGGATAAAAGTTTCGTCCATGAACAAAAGAAGAACCCTAGAACCTTGAATTTCTAACAGATGTATCTTGTCCTACTGTATTTTAGGCTTCCAAAAATTCAACGCCAAACACTTGTCTGCAAGTCATCATTGGCTAACAACAAACGCCACGCTGAACTCGACAGTAACACACCGCTCTCCGAGAGCGAAGAGGCTCAGTGAAAACATTTCTAGACAATCAGCTGAGCAGATACATAAATATCGAGAAGGTAATGTGGAATTATTACCAGCTCTAAGTGTATAGAAGAAAGTCTACTCACAATGACCCAGATTTACACGCCCTTAAATTCAGATCTGTTTCAAATCCGGCGCTTAACCCTTCAACCAGCTATCAGCCTCAATGATACTCTCCACGGTAATCTCGATGTGGTTTCTCTAGAATCAAACCCAGAGTATGAAGCTCTCTCGTATGTATGGGGCGCAACCACACCAGCTAAGACTATCAACCTTGATGGCCTTCTGATTTCCATCACGCCAAATCTCGAGAATGCTTTACGCAACCTTCGTCTTACCAATCTTCCTCGAATCCTCTGGGTTGACGCATTATGTATCAATCAGGATGATCTTGATGAACGTGCCTCGCAGGTTGCGCTCATGAGACGGGTCTACTCGGAAGCTACTACGGTCTTGATTTGGCTTGGTTCGGAATCAGATGGTAGTGATGATGCGATGCGGAGTATTGAACGTTTTGACAAGGGATATTGGAAAACGTATGATTTCCAAACTCAGTTTATGGAGATTTTATTTCGGCCGTGGTTTACGCGCATTTGGACGGTGCAGGAGTTTGTTATGGGGAAGCATAGTGTTGTGGATGGAAGAATGAAAAATCCTTTGTTTGGATGTGGGGGTGTTTGGGTTGAGTGAGTAATTGGTTTTCTTATATATTCAACTCGTATGCACGTACTAGCTAAGCGGCTGCTGATACCTTCATACTAGATGGCTGCCCTTTATCACGGCGTGGGCCTATTTTTCAGACGATACAAACATCATGGAGGAGAAATACAAGAAAGCGTACCACGATGCGGTGGCCAAGACATTTGAGCCCGAGTGGATTCGACTTGTTCATTCAAAGCCAGTGGGTACAGAACCTACTTCTCTAGAAGGAGTAATCACAGGATTGAGAAGCGCATTTGGCGAAGATTTCTTGCAGAATTTACCCTATTCAAATGTGAAAGATTTAGATGAAGAAATCCAGCTCAATCCGGTAGTATGGAGAGCCAGATACACCATCATGAGATATTCTCAATACGGTTCCGTCGAAGCTAAAGCATTCTGGAGAAGAATGGAGCTCACAAAACGCGTTCCAATCACTTACCATGGCTTTCTTATGCACTCCCGCGGTACTATTCACATCCGCAAGGAACCACTTACTCTTGAAACTGTTCTAAAAGGTACAATGAACCTTCGGTCTACTGACCCGCGGGACAAGATCTACGGAATCCTTGGTTTACTGAGTGAAGAAGCTAGAGCAGCTATTCCTATTGATTACCACAAGGAACCAGAATGGACATTTGTGCCGACAATGACCTACATTATACATCATGAGCCAAAAGGTCTAGCACTTCTCGGTCTTCTTTGGCGGACACGCCAATTTAAAACGCCTCTTCCCTCTTGGGTTCCAGATTTCACCATCTCGGCTGATTATAACGATGAACATAATCCCGTCTTTCTGCGCGGGGGTTGCGCAAATTATACTTGGGATTGGCCTCAAGATACCAATGCCACAGTATCACAGGACAAAATCATACTTTCAGCGCACATGATTAATTTTGGCCGCGTCACTCATATCATCTCTTTCATCGATGGAGATCGCAGCTACTACATCTCGCGATTCAAAGAGATTGAATGTCTCCTCACCATTCATGCTCCTCTAAGCGAACCTCTCTGGCGCACACTCGTAGGTATTCGCAACACAGATCATGAATTAACAGTGTCCTACCCTCGAACTTTCGAAATATTAATGGGACGAATTCCGGAGCAAAATGGTGCCGCGCCGAAAATGTTCCAAGATGCTATTTTACCTATTGTTCGGAGACGGAAATTTTTTATTACTGATACGGGATTTGCGGGTGTGGCTACGCCGATGATTCGAGATGGGGATATGATTGCTAATATTGTGGGGATGGGTAGGCCGGCTATTTTGAGAGATACGGATTCCATGCAGATAGGGATGGAGAGGAGAATTGATACTGGGAGGTTGTATCATAGGATTACTGGATTTGCTTATGTGGGTTGTCATGATCGGGATGGATTTGAGGGTTTGGTTAGAGAGAATGTAGGAGAGAGGGGGAGACATTGTTGTGTTGATGTAGAGTTGGAGGAGTGTTTTATTATTTGAAGTGAATTTTTTTTTTTTAGATTTCGTAATTTATCCTAAAAATCTGTAACTTATAAGGTTGTTTGTTTATTTGCGGTTATTGGGGTTTATTGAGTGAATAGACTAGCTGTGATGGTCGGAAAGAAAACCTGCTCTGATTTAGTTATTGTATAAAGGTCTTGTGAATATCTAATAAATCTTAAGAGTTTTAAGTATTCGTTGTAATTAGTGAATCTTTTGTTATAAGAATTCACTGGTATCCTGAAATCTACTCACTGTATAGCCTTTGAATTCAGAATTCATGATAGAATCCTAGCAAAAATCTTATTTTCTTAAATTTTATTAAGTTTTATAGTTTTATCGTATAATAATTATTTATAAATTTATTTTAAAATATTTATATTTATATTTGATATTTTATTTTTTTGTTTAAAAGTTTAAGTATTTGAATTTTTAAATTTTTATAATCTTTTTATTGTATAAAGTGTTAAAAGGAATGACCTTACACAGGGAATAATGGGAAGCTGATAGGGCAGAACTGAGGTAATATTGGTCTAGTGTATGTTCGCACTACATCTAAGTTCTACGGAAGTGCGAAGCTCTCCTACAGAGAGCTTCTCAATCTAGTCCTAATAGGACTAGTGCCCTGTGCACATGCTACACAGGAACCATTCACTTTAACATAAAGTTTTGTTTAAATATATGTAACGATACTGTACTGGAGGCAGCGGTTGCCTGAGGTTTCATCTGGTTGGTAGTTGTAGGTTAAGGCTTTATCACTGGTATTCACTTGGAAGTGAATTCGTTACTAGATCAAGTAGAATGTAGGTAAACTAATTGATAACTAAGTTGAGCACGAAGCTCCTAAACTATGAAACTACTCTGACTATATAATGATCGATAAAGGGAGCCCCCAGGAGCTTTGAGGGCTTCTAGGGCTCCTTATCACGTGATTCATTTTCATCCCATGACACTAATCCTAATGGTGAATCGTGACAATATATTTTTTTAAATAACGTGGTTTATCAGTGGGTCGGACATATCAGTGGGTCGGACACTTTTTCCTCGATTTATCACTTTAAAACTATATTATTCAATAACAATTGGATGAATCGATTGAAACTATTAAGAATCTAATAAACTAGCATCTATTGCATTATTTTGACAGGTTCTTGAATTATGACCAGTCTTTCCACACTTACTACAGCATCGACTAGTAGATGATTCCCTATTAGAATTTCCCCCATTTTGACGCTCGTCGCGTTGAATCTGATTATCAACCTCTTGTTGTGATAATATATCTTCAGCTTCTTGTCCAGTAAGTACTCCTCCATTACGTAGTTGAATTTTTTTAGCGCGTCGACGTTTACTTAATGCTTCATTTGCTCTTCGAAGCATACGATTCTCAGCACTCAAAAGTGTAACTTCATGTGCCAATCTCTCTGTACCTTTAGCTAAAGCTTGCACAGTCTCAAATATAGGTGTAGGAGAGCTTGATTGATGACGAGCTATTCGAGCTTTTACTAGAGTTGATTGTAAAAGAGCCTCAGTTGGATTGTGAGGGGTTTGAGAGATCCAGAAATTGATAAGTTCCAAGGAGGTAGATGGAGGGGTAGAAGTACGAATCCTAACATCTAGTTTTGAGAGTATAGATTGAGGATCAAATGGTATTAGACCTGCTCCTCGAAAACCAGCTTTTATATTCTGAATAGTAATCGATTGTTGATATGCAGCTTTGAAAGCTATAAAGAATTCAACCTTAGAAATATGATTGATATGAGCCTTGATAAATCCTTCAATTTGACAACTATATGAACGTTTGAGTACGCTAAAACATCCAATATCAAGTGGTTGAGTTAAGTGACTTGAATGCGATGGTAACTTTATGCATATAATATCGTTTGACTTGCAATATGACTGGAAAGGTATCGATTCGTGACTTTCATGCCCATCCAATACTAGCATTCGATATTTGCCCTTTCTCCGTTGACTAGTATGCTTATCGAAATGCTTTAACCATTCTAAACCTGTCTCATTATTCGTCCATCCATTAGAAGTAGGTTTAATAGCCCAATCTGCAGGAAAATCACTCTCTGTATACCAATTAGAAAGGTGATATTGTCCTTGCACCACTAAAAATGGTGGTATAGTTTCACCCTCTCCATTACCACATATAATTGCCGTAGCCCATTCTCGATTGCCTGGTTGTATTGCCTTGTTTCTGCCATTTCTTTCAGAACTAGTTACAACCATTCCAGGGCATATTATACCCATCATAAAGCCGGTTTCGTCGAAGTTGTAGAAATCGCAATCTTGAATACCATATTTCGCCCGCATATTCGATACCAATCCAAACCACTCTTCAATAAGCTTGGGATCTTCGCAGAGAGCTCTTTGAAAGTCATAAACACGACTAAAACACGTCTTTAATTTTGTACAACGCTTTACGAATCGATGAGCCCAGAGCTTTCCAACTCTCTTCGCACCTCTTGATTCGAGAATATAATTCGCCATATCTTCTACACCACTTAATTTAGGTGCAAATCCTCTTTCATCCATATCGATAATATACTGAATAAGCACCTCTTCTTCTTTTTCAGTCAAATTAAGATTATTTGCTCGAGTTTCCATTCTGTGAATTCGACCGCCCATTCTATCTCGTAATGTAGTTCGAGGGACTTTGTAGATTTTCGCAGCCTTTCCAACTGTAAGATTTTTTGATTTTTGAATAGCTTCAATAGCTAAGATTATTCTGGCCTCTTTTGATTGTATTTCCATAATAATTCGTTGAAATATCGCGTCTTGAAATTGAATGATAAAAGATATTGAAAAAGTGGCGACTCGCTGATAGTGGCGACTCGCTGATAAACCACGTTATATAAAATATAAGATTTAATAATTTAACTTTAAGAATATATATATAATATCAAACTTTAAAAAAAACTTATTTAATATAAAATAAATAAATAATTTAATTTTTTTACTAAAATAATTGTTAAAGTGAATGGTTCCTGTGTAGCATGTGCACAGGGCACTAGTCCTATTAGGACTAGATTGAGAAGCTCTCTGTAGGAGAACTTCGCACTTCCTGTTACGACGGCTATCTTCCACACCGCGTCACATGACTAAGCCAAGGTAACGTGATTAAGTCACGTTATGGACCGCTGAGGAACGCTGGCTGTCCAGGACCGCGCAGCGGTCCTGACTAGCCATAGGCATGAAGGTCTATATAATCAAGATGGATTTCCTTTGTATAGGGCTTCGTGCTCAAGATCAATCATTTAGTATACTCTACTATTAGTTACGAATTGCATCATTGTCATTACTTAAGTCCCTGTTTGACACCTAGTTATAAACCACCTCGAGAGCCTAGAGCACTTCCACGTGATCTAGACGGCAATCCTCGTAACAGAGTGTTTATAGTTTTTATATTTAAAGTTATATATTGGTAAGGCATCAGACCACGCGTTTTATTAGTGGAAATTTCACGCGTCTCCATACAAGGCGCGTCGCGTATCTTTTCATCATACTCTTACCTTCATATTATTCAATTTATGTTGACTTGAATTTTATTGTTTATTACCCACGTTGTACCTAAGACTAATCTCCCGCCCATCCTACCTAACTTATCCCTTCTACTCCATAACACACTTTCGAAACTCCTTTCGTACTGAACCTACATACTACCCTGCGATCAAATCTTCTTGCTCGTCGCCATGGCGGAGCTTCATAGTGAGCTTAACTCACATTTTGATCTCCATAAAATAGCCTTAACAGTTGCGCCCAATTCCGGAAGAGCAGCGGGCGAATTCTGGGCAGCTAGTGAGCAACTAAACTATCTTTTTTCCGTTTCCCGAGTGACTAGAATGCTAATTTTATTCATGTGCGTCAAGTACTCGAACCCGATAAGAATGTCTCAAATTTGAGCTCAGAAGATTTCCATTGGTTCAAGGTTAAAGGCAAACATACTGTCGCAAAAGTGCAGAAAGCATACCACAAGAAGTGTGGTGTTACGATTCTCCTTCGTCAAGGAGATCGAGTGATACCATCGACAACCCAGATGCAGCAAATTAATCATTTCAAGGATGATATCATCATTTTTTCGAGCAAAAGTACATCTGAAGACGATAATGCTGACCTCAGCCGAACGCCATTACAGTCAATTGATGCTGCTAGCCAGAATCGTATGCAGACCCCTTCTCGAACACCTGTCAAAGCCGAGACTGGATCTGCATCGAGGCCGGTGAAAATGAAGGCAGAACCAGACCTTTCAACTGTCTCCCCAAGCCCCTTCAAAACTCCCGCCATCTCTCGCACGTTGCCTGAAGCTGGGACACCCGCATCTTCCGGATCAAGTTCAAGATTAGGTCAACTTGACATTCCTGCACCAGCACCTACTACTGGCTATGATGTCTTTGCTGTATCTCAACGTGATTATCATAGGAATTCCAAACTTACAGCTGGTAAGTCATAGTTTGGTCAATTATGTTGGTTTCCGGGCTAATCTAGAACAGCTGGACTTGATACATCTTTGAGAGATGCATGGACTGTTTTGACACCCACGTCGCGTGAATTTTGGGAACGGAAGGCTACTAACCATGCAAATAATATACCTGCGTCAGTTAATGCTTCTGCGCCGAATGCCCTCTTAGGTTATGAATCTTTCGCTGAAGTTCATCGTGCAAATTATACAAGCTCATCCGCCACACCCGGTAAAGTCAACCTTCATTAACAGTCGTATACGAGCTTTAGCTAACCTCAAATTAGCTGAAATTGAGTCTTCGTTGCGGAAAATTTGGGACAAAATGTCAAGTGATACTCGGGAGTACTATTCAACAAAGGATGCCCAAAAATCGAACACCCCCGTGTCCAACAATAGCCTTTTGTTGCCTGCACCTGCGGTCGATACCAAGCCCTTGCCAGGAAGTTTTAGTCTCTCTTCTAATAACCGCTCAAGATCCGTGACCAAAGATGATCTTGTGATGAAACCTGACGACTATAGCTCAGCATTTAAGGATGAAGGTGGCAGCCCAGAACCAGAACCACAAACTTTAGAGCTCGCGAAGCTTAGGCTTCAACATATCATGGAAGACGGTTCTCCAGAAATACTTGAACAGGAAGTGAAAAAGACAAATGATTTCCTCGATGCTTTGAAGAATCATTTTAAAGTACCCGAAGCGGAATCACACCCAGACACAAGTCATTGGCTTCAACAGATTGGTAAGTGATATCGATGTATCTTCTACTCTGCTAATTGTTTCGGCAGACACTTTGCAAGCTCAAGTTGTAAATACTCCCACAATCATCGGTGTCGTTGGCAATACCGGTGCGGGTAAGAGTAGTGTTATTAATGCCATGCTTGATGAAGAACGCTTAGTGCCCACCAATTGGTATGCTTTCTGTTCCGTCAAGGTGATCGATATGCTTATATATGCTTAGCATGCGCGCTTGTACTGCGGTCGTTACGGAGATGTCGTGGAATTTTAGCGACGACCCGAGCAAGAAGTATAGAGCAGAGATAGAGTTTATCAAAGAATCTGATTGGGAGAAAGACCTCAAGGTATCTTTGAATGAGCTTATTGATGCGTCCGGAAATGTAAGTGACCGAATCTTCCCAAATAACATTACTAACTTCCCTTCAGGTCTCAAGAGATTCTACAAATGCAGACACTGAAGCTGGAATTGCATATGCAAAGATCAAGGCTGGTTAGTTGAATAGAACATTTCACACAGTGCGACTTCTAAGCAGTTGTTTAGTTTACCCAAATAAGACGCATGAAATGCTAGCAAATTCCACTGCGGAGGAGCTCCTTGCGGAAGGCGATGTTCGCACAGTCCTCGGAACCACCAGAACCATTGAAAAATCCTACCCTGAGTTTTTCTACAAAGAACTTCAGCGCTATGTCGACAGTAAAGAAAAGTCTACGGGTGAGAAGGGTCGACCTAGTGAGAAGAAAAAAGAGAAGAGAACCATGGAATTTTGGCCTTTGATTAAAGTCGTGAGAATATTCGTTAAAGCCGATGCTCTCTCCACGTGAGTACTTGAATCGTACTTATTTGCATTTTAACAAAGCTTACTCGTGATTAGTGGTGCTGTTATTGTCGACCTGCCTGGTGTTCATGACTCGAATGCTGCTCGTGCTGCTGTGGCAGCTGGCTACATGAAACAATGCACCGGTACGTACTATTCAAGGGTCGCGTTTGTTGTGTCTTCGTCTAACGCATTACTAGGTTTATGGGTTTGTGCGCCTATTAATCGAGCAGTCGATGATAAGGCTGCGAAATCTCTCTTGGGAGAATCTTTTAAACGCCAACTCAAGTATGATGGGGTGAGCTAATTTGACTGCCATTTCCTCCTTGCAAATGCTAACCCACCGATAGCAATTTTCGAGAATCACATTCATTTGCTCCAAAACTGACGATATCTCTGTCCTTGAAGCTTCCGATTCGTTGGGTCTAGAGGATGCTATGGCGGAAGATTACGCGATGATCGATCAGATTGACAAGCAAGTTGATGAATTGAATGCGAAGATTGCAGATCTTAAGGAAAAAATCGATGTCTATAGTGGAGTTTACAATGATGCAGACGAGAGTCTAGATATTTGGGATGATTTAAGGCGAGACATAGATGCAGGTGAGGCCGTTTATGTCCCGAAGGCTGCGCCTGAAAAGTCTCCCAAGCGAAAGCGTTCTCCCTCCTCAAGCAAATCGCGCAAGAAGATGAAGATTTCCGAAAACGAGGATGATGATGATTCCATTAATGATGACGATGAGGACCAGGAAGATGATGAACTTTCCGATGACGAAACCGACGCCGAAGCCGAGGAAGAAGACCTCGACAAAGGCGATCCTTTGAAAATTGAAGACATTGAACAAAAGATTGATGATCTCAAAGACACCAAAAAGCAAGCTCGGAAGGAGAAGGTTGCCTTGGAATTGGAAATCAAAGAAGTCAAAAAACAATCGAAAGAATTGAACCAGCAAAGAAAGGAAATCGACACCAGAATGCGCGCCATTTGTATTGACGGTCGAAACAAGTATTCAAAAGGAGCTATCCAACAAGACTTTGCTGCTGGTATCAAAGAGCTTGATATGGAAAACGCCGAAGAGGAAGATGCTGAGAATTTCAACCCTAATGAAGACATGAGAGATTATGATGCCGTAGCTCGAAGTCTTCCTGTGTTTTGCGTTAGTAGCAGAGCCTACCAGCAGCTGAATGGAAGATTGCGGAAGGATGCCAAGATTCCAGGTTTCCGCGCTGTCGAGGAGACCCAGGTATGTTGTGATTATTGACAGATTAAAACCCCGCAACTGATAATGTTCTAGATTCCACAACTGCAGGCACATTGCAAAAAACTTACGGAAGCTGGTCGAAGTGCTACCTGTCGTAGATTCCTCAATGCTCTTCTCCAGCTTGTCTTATCCTTGTCCTTATGGTCAAACAACGATGGAACTAATATCAATCTTTCAGATTCACAAAAAATGGCCCAAGCAAGCTGGCTTCAGAAGAATTTAAAAGAATTGGAGAGAAGTCTCGATGGGGCAGTCGGAAGTTGCGTTGCTGACATGAATGATGCTTTAACCGAAAATATATTTGAGAAATTCAGCGAGGCCATTCCATTGGCTGCGGAACAGGCACCTAGCATTGCTGCGAAATGGGGTGCTCCTGTCAACAAGGTCGATCGTGCAGCTGGTGGTTTGTATTTTCAGACATACAGAGGTAAGTTTTCCCCCATAAATCCTATTACCGTGCTAACGGAACCAGCTGTCATTCGTAGAGATGGTGTGTATGGAAATAAGAATGGTAATCTTTGGACTTAGCTTCGCATACAATTTCACAGCTGACGATTTAGCTGCGTATAATTTCAACAGCGATTTGACGGAGCCAATTATGAAACACTTGGCAAATCATTGGGAAAAAAATTTCTCCAGGAGAATTCCTTCCGTGCTTCGAAGTTTTACCACAAAAACCAATTTGATTCTAAAGAATTTCCATCAGGCGGTTGAGAGTAGGAGCCGCAAAAATGGTACAGGAATCGCTGGCTTGGCGATGTTGGCTCAACAACTACGCACGTATGAATCAAGCTTCTCAATCCTAAACATAGAGATGATCGAAGCTATCAACAGTCTACAACGTGATGCCAATCGAGAGTTTGTTCCAGTAATAGCTCAGAACTTGGCCTCATCGTATCATCATTGTGCTGGCGAAAGCGGTATGTTTCAATTTCACTCAGTTGTCAATTTTGGTGCTAAGATTAGTGCTAGGAGTTGGCATGTATAAGCGCATTAAAGACCATTTGGGTAATGAAATTCAACAAAAACGAAACTCCATGTTCAAAGAAAGTTGCGATGAAGTCAAAACCAGACTCAATAAGATGTGTCGACAGGTTGAAGAAAGTATGAACAACAAAACCGACGAAGTCTTTTTGCTCATGCGCAGAGATTACTTGCAAGTTCTTAATGGTGCTCAAGTAAGTGTTGATGTAATGCCTAAATGGGAACGTCACATGCGATCACAAATTTCTCTTGTTCTCGCCACGTTTGACAAAGATGAAGGGGAGAAGATTGCTACTGGTGTGAAGGATGAAGTTATTGAAGATGAAATTTTCAAAGACACTAAGGCCGAAGATCTTGATAGCATCAAGAAGGATGGGTCTGCGGAGGCTAGCGCGGTTCAAGATAATGAAGTTGAGGTTGATGCCATGGGACTGGAGGAGGCAAATGCTCCTACCGTAAAGAGCGAGCAATTCACGGATGATCGGACTGATGACAGTAAGGCACCTGAAATTCGTGAAGCAGATACCAATGCCAGCTCATCTGTAATGGGCGTCCATGGTCCAGCTACCGAAGCCTCGCCTTCTGATTTGCCTTCAACCGATATTCTTGCCTAGAAAACCATGATGGTGGTTCTTCTGCTCACTAAAGCATTATTTACATTCTGTTTCTATGAGATATTTGCTTCATTTCCTCGTTTCTATGGCGGTGTTTACGGATGTTGGAGCACTGATCCTTACTTTTTGACGCGGGGTGTTTTCTGGTGTAACGGGTAGACAAAAGGCTGGGGTGTGTTGATGGGGATGTGTTCAATTTGCTTTGATTCAAACGAGACAATGTCTGGGATGCTAGGGAATTGCTGGGGGATTGCTAATGAAAATGGTTGGTATTGTGAGTTGTTGCAAAGTATCTAGGTAAAACTGAGCTAGTGTATGATCAGAAATTTCATACGTCCAAGTATTTGAGGTTGATTTGTGTGATATGTTATAAGGTTTTCCACGAAGGTATTCTGATAAAGAAGGGGCAAAGCCATCCCTTTCCTCAGTCAACGCTCAATCCTGACCTTGAAGCAACAAGTAGGGTAAGGGCAATGATGCCCGCCAGATATAGAATGTTACCTGCATTTTCAATTTCTGAGGCAACAAACTACATTCATTACCATTCATCACTTCACTTCATACTTGCAAAATCATTACGCTCGTTCCAAAATTTCGAATATTTGTATGCTCTGCATAGTTGTTCCCCTTCTTACAGTCATTATTACACATATCATATTAACAACAAAAGAAATATCAGGTCAATATGCCTTTTCTATCCAGCCCAGCCCAGCCATCCATTAACCAATGTATTCCATCATTGAAGCCAAAGTTATCAGAGATCAAAGTCCATCTGACATTCATCCCTTCGTTTGTTTCAAAAGAAAACAATATTCGACATTCTATCGACAAATTTTTGAACAGGATAGACCGCGCCAGGCACTCCAATGCAAGTATCGAAGAATCGATATCCGCATCCCTGAAGATAGTACCAAGGATACGCAAACTTCTTCCGTGGAAATTTATCAACATTGAGCTAAAGTTTGAAGGTTCGAAAAACGTGCCAACAGTCGATGGAACCTTGAGAAACATTTTAGAAGAATTTGCCCGTGACCTTGGGAGTATTGAAGGTTGCCCTGTGTCTATCCGTACTTCCCCGTTTATACCGGATAGTAGCTCTCGTGTTAGTGGTTTGGTTGATGTAAGTTTTCCTTTGGTGTAGATGTCACATCAATGGAATTACATTGGCACATCCTGAATTTGGAAATCCATACTAATGCTGTATTGATAGCACAATGAACTACTCCATTACATCCCCAGCCCTTGCACGATCAACTTATGGCTGTCTCGACAACTAGACTACGCGAAAACGTCAAATCCAAACGCCGGTTCATTTAAAAGCACGGAGGTAGAAATTGCAAGACTAATTTCAATCTGTCTTAAACAAAGTGGTGTAAAGTTACGTGAAGATTTGAATCAATCATCATCACCATTCGAACACTCCAACTTGGATTCTACATCCGACGATAGCTCTGAGCGTGGTATTCAGAGCTCAGCGCCTGCTGCTGCCCAATCATACCTTAACAAACTATCGGATGTCCCCCAGATACAAACTAGAAATACGGTAGATGGCATTGGAGCCGTAACTATAGAAACCACAAGTTCCACTAATGATTCTGAGGACAGTGGGGTACCCTTGAGTCTAGAAACTGCCCTGTATCGATTTGAAGTGGTTGAATATTGGGTGGAACAAGTTAAACTTGAACGGCAAGATACTGAAGCTAAAGAAAATCTATGTCCATATCCCTTGCAAGAGGAAAATTGTGGTTCAATATTTGAGTGGCCATGGGTTCAAACTGAGTTACCCGGAGCGTGGCGACAACCTTCTCTTACGCAAAGCTCTATTCTAGAAGCTAGCTCTAAGTCATATGTCAAAGAAACACCTTATTTCGTTCCAGGATCCAATTTATCAGATGTAGTAGAGGCTAATGCGGAGACAAAAATTGAGCAGTCAACTTCAACCAGTATCGAAAATTCTCGTGGTGCTTTGCACAAAACTTCGCAAGTGAACCTACTTGAGGAACAGTTTGATTCGAGCTGTATTATTGGAAATGAAGTAGACATCAAACAACCAACTTCATCCGTTTTAGAATGTCCTCATACTCATCTGCGCGGAGGTGGTATTCCTATTCAGAATCATTACAGACCTTGCTTACGAAGAATCAAGAAGAGAAATCTACATGATCATTTCCACCACGACATAGATCTCGGTTATGGTGGATCTCACTTTGCTGCGGAACCGTTTCCTAAGTATGATCCAATTGTGGATTTAACGTATCTATACGAGACGGATGGTATTTATCGTGTTGGTACATATATCAGCCCCACGATGATTAGAAAAAGACGCGAGATGTTGAAGAAAGCCTTAGGGCTGGCATTTGAGAAGGCAATTCACAACATTCGATGTTGTAACTCCGGCGCTGAATCAAATGTCGACCTTATTTCTGAACAACCGCTCCATAGCATTCGAGGCAATGGCTACAGTGTCGAATCCAATCTGGGGTATTGTTGTGGTGCTATGAGCCAGCCCTATGTCAATCTTGATCCTGGATATTCAGATCTCGGCACTGGTTCAAGTTGTATCTATTTAAGAGGAGGAGTTGGAGATACAGATGGAAACAGCCCGAACCCGATCAATTCAACATCAGCACCATCTAGGCGTATTCGCATACGCGACCAATTTTGTGTTATGTTGAAGAATCCCCTGAAATTCATAATAGGGAAGTTTTCTTGCAAGAAACCAACGCAAACCGCACAAGGTGGAGATTATGTTGAGCTCGAAGAGGATCACAGTCATGAAGAACCTGAAGAGAAATTTGAGGAAGAGGTGGCAGAAAAGAACATATCGCATGATATATCTTCAAAAGAGGATGAGTATCAGAGGGTAATGAACGACTATAATCTGCTTTTGGAGCAAATAAATGAGATAAAAACGTCGTTGCGCGAGATTGAAGAAGTTCTCCCTGAAGACTGTGAGGAAGTGCGACAATACAGAAGTATCCGCAAAGATGAAAAGATACTGGAAAACTTTGATAAAAGAATGGTACAGATCGATCGAAAGAAATATGGCCCCCTCGATATAAAGAGCAACCTCAAGTTGATAGACCGCGCCTGTAGAGAAGCGAATGTTGTAAAGGGAATCTTCCACAGAAGAAGAGATCTAGCGCGAATTGCCTGGAGAAAATCGCTTTATTCCCATTCTGAATCAACCAGTACACTATTGCGCGGAGGGGCAGGACCATCGAAGAGATTCCAGCGAAGGCATAGGATGGGTATACAGGAATTCGCAAAATTTGAGTCGGAGAATGGGCTAATTGAAGGACCTGCTTCGACTTCGAGCCAAATGGTCGAGCCTGGGACTCCTACACAGACAGTCGTACCTTCAGATCCTCCGCAAGCAGGAGAGTCTCTGACTTCTGACCAAGCAGTTGTATCCCCGAATCCTGCTCAGGCAGTAGAATCTGTGACTCCTACAGAGACAGTCGTACCTTCAAGTCCTCCGCAAACAGTTTTATCCCCAAATCCTACGCAAACAGCCGAACGTCCAGCACTTCAAACTCACCAACAGCATGATTCGTTAGACAGTGGTGTTGGTGGCTTAAGGGACGCGGAAAGCCAAGAAAAAGATGAATCTGCAGAAGATGAACCTGCACAAGTTGAAGATCCTGTCCCAGCCCATGAGTCTTCACAACCTCAATCTGAATACACAGTGGTGGTTGTAGAAATTGCAGAGAGCTCGGGTGAAGACAATGTTGAGCAGTCTAGTACTATCGAAAATTCATATAGCATCGAGGAGTCAAAAGATGCCGAAGAATTAGAGAGCGTCGAAGACTCAGATGATTTCGAGGAGTCAAAAAGTTTCGAGGGACCAAAAAGTGTCAACGAGACTGGCAATGCAGGAAGTGAGAGTGGCACTGTAGAAAGTTCAGATCTTGAAGAGCCGGAAAGATTTGCTAGACAACGACTTGAAAGAGCACGGGAGCAACTTGAGAGGCAAGAGGAATTAAGAGACGAAATTGGCGATGTAGCAGCAGAATTTTATGGTCTCGTTAACGAGATTGCATTTAAACGCAAGGCCATTTTAGACGGGGACCCTTTCTCAAAGGCCGATTTTGAATACCGTGTTACCGATGAGGATGTGTCGGATATAACCAGATATATTAAGTATAAATGGGACATGACACGTATACTTGATGACACAACGTTTTATCCGTATCAAGTTACACGTGCAGAGAACTGTGTTATAGGGGCAAGGCGCGTGAAGGATATAATTGATAATTGGTACGCTGCGGTAGTTCAGCGGGGAGAAACATCTAGGTTTGAGCCTGTTACAACAAGAGGTGTGGGAATCCTGGATAATTGGGAATACGTCACGACTTTACCGGAGACTTGGTCTTGCCCTACGCTAAGGAGAAGGTCCTCGGCGGATTCGGCTTCCCCTTCAGCTTCACAACCTAAAGCCGTGGTGAAAGAGCGTGGTGAATCTTCAAAAAGCAGCGCTCGTCTCCCGTTTCGACGAGCTTATCCCGTGATTGAAGAACGTGGTGAATCTTCAAAAAGCAATGCTCATGTCGACGATTGGAAAATCACAGCACAAATAAACGAGCTGGAGGCTAAGAACGGAATTGAGGTGACTAGCGTCTCAAGACGTAGTTCAAAGGACCATAGTAATAACGAGCGCGATGCGAAAATCACGTCTCTGAGCGAGAAAGCCGAGGAAGAAGAGTATCAGCCGCAGATCCCCGAACAATGTATAGGGACACTTACGGTACTGGGGGCGTCGCGTGCTGAGGCTGTTAATTTATTGATAGCTACTGATGGGGACGTCCAACACGCGGCTAATATCTTTGTTGAGGAAGATCCCTTGCTGAATAATGATGCGTATGATTTATTAGAGGATGCCGAAGCTGATATAAATGGACTTGTTGCATTGATGGGAGTGTCGCCCCGCAAAGCTTTTATTGCATTGTTGGTTTCGGGGGATGATGTTGAAGAGGCTGCGCGTCATTTATCGGCTGATTCTACTTATGATGCGGATGATGAGGTTACTGAGGCGAGTAATGATGATAAGGTTGTTGATGTTGGTAAAAAGGGAAAAAGAAGTATAACCTTGTGAAGCATCAGCGGATTTTTAACCTTATCATGTAAATAGCGGTTTAGGAAATAATCGAAATATTATCAGCGTGTAAGAATTGCGATTTCTCCGTATTTAATGGTTCTGGAGTGCAGTCTAGAAAAGAAATGCGGTATTTTCGATTTTTGAATTTGCTTGGGAGATTGGAGTGGAGTTGAGTATTGGAAAAACATTGAAATAGTTGTGAAGCATTCAAGTCATTTCAAAGACTGATAGCTTCCTGAATAATAGGCCTAGGTGTGATCTGCTAGCTCGGACTATCGGGCACTCCGCTTTCTCTATCAATTGAAGGCGAGGATGAGGAACTACTATTCCATGTACTACTGCCACGAGAACAATTTCCGTTTCCCAAATTTATCAACTTCCTTCTTCCAAAAAAATCCTTTCACTCGTCTTCAGCTTTCCTTCTCCCCTCCGCAAAATCACTCAACACCTTATTCAAGCCCTCTCTCCTCACACAATTTTCAAACTTCCAACTCGCCGCCAAAGCCTCCAATTCCTCCTCTCCCAACCCTCTAAAAAGCTCCGCAAACTCATCTGCAAAACTACTCGCTACATAAGTTTGTATGATGCCTCTTAAAACTTGTCTCTGGACACCCCAAGGCGTGGGATATTGTTCTTTTGCTTTGGGGGCATTTTCCTCGATCCATTTGATTAAGGGATTTAACGCCTTATCCAACGATTCCGAGGCTGGGGATCCCCAAGCGTCGAGTTGGAGCGCTCGTTTCTTTCGGAGGAATGCGTTGATCAGGCTGTGATAGGGAGATGTGGGAGAGGTGGTTACCATGCCTTGGAGTCCGAGATCTTTGTATAGCCATATGCACCAGGGGATTTGGTATTTATCGTAGATTTTTAGTTGGGCGCCTAGGAGGGAGTAGCGTTGGGCGTTTATTTCTGAGGCGTTAGGCTCGAGTGAGGAGTCTTCGTAGACGGGTCCGAATTCGCCGTTCCAGCTTGGGACGTTGCGGTCTCTCATAAAGGTGCATTTACGAAGGAAACTGGATTCGAGATGGGTGATTTGGGAGGGGGAGCCGATGAATGGGGTGCCGGTGGGGAAACCCATGGAAGAGTAATCGTGGAGGGCATAGGCGCAGTTGGGGAGGATGGTATCGAAGGATTTCCACTCCATTGCGAAGGTGTTTCCGTCGAGCCAAAGGATGTGTGAAGGGTCTATTTGACGGATTTTGGATTCAAAGCGAGTGTAGAATTCTGGAAGACGGTGGTGCAATGGATCACAGGGTTCGTTGATTGGATTATAGCCTGCTATCCAGGGGTTATCGCGGTAGCGGGTAGCGATTTGTGACCAAAGCCATATGGTACGGTCTTGATGATCTTTGTGATCCCAAAATGAGGCATAGTTGGATGTATTATCAGAATGCCAGTCTGGATTTTGGGCACCAGGCACCGTGTGCATATCGAGGATTGTGTAAATATTATGTTTGGCGCACTATTTCTATCAATATTTGTAGACATTGGGCTATGATATCTACCTACAAGCTCAATAACACGATCCAAATGTTTGAAGCCACTTTCTTTCAAAACTCTAGGATTCATATCATCTTCAAAATGTCGATAATTAAATGGCAAACGTAAGCAATTCAATCCCAAACTGGCAAAGAATTTGGCATCATCTTCCATGAAGAAATAATCTAGGAATTTATCAAAGAAGAATTCATATTTCTCCTTCCCAAGAACTTTTAACATGGCAGCTCGATGTTGATGCTCGTGACCTGGATAACCGGTTATGAAATTCTCCATATTCATCCATCCTCCCAAACCAGCTCCACGAAGTATGACTGGTTTACCGGAGGCATCGACGATTTGCTCGCCTTTTACTTGGAGAATGCCATTAGACATGTTGGGGATAGGTAAAACTAAGCTTAAATAGATTTATGTTGAAAATTGTAGACGAGATTGTAGTGTCGTGTTGCAAGAAAATGCTGAATCATAAAGAAAAGAGAAACTGTAAGCATCTCCTCGTGCAAATACATATATTATATATTTTGTTTCAGAGAAAGTCATGAGTTTTGTATTCAGGCTGATATGTGAAGTTGTAAATATTACCGTTTCTGTACAACCCCACCATGTATCCCCCTGCGCTTCTAATTTATCCGGATCAGAATCAGGATTAGATCGACGACAGATTGTTCAAGCGCGCGAATCAAATCACCAGCTCTAACAAAAAGGGCACTTTGTTTGGATTCAACAATTGATATCTGGGTAAGATATTTAGATCTTGGATGGGTGAAATCAAATGACTGAATGATCGGGTAAACATGGAACAACTTGAAAACAGTATCAATACTCAAAATCATTGCTAAAGAGACAATTAACGGCGTAGCTAGTGTTTGAATTTCCTGCTCAATAGTGATTGATTTGTACAATAGAAGTTGTTTAGGGGCCTAGGATAGGATAAATCAAAATCTGATGGCAAAAGTCCGTTCCCAATCAAAAAATCTCAAATAAGAATGTATGCGTGACGTGTGGTGAATAGTGGTAATGACACGCTCTTCAGCTTGAAGACTTAGTCTGAGCACGGAGTATAGAGATGGTGAATCTACTTTCGACTATGAAAAGCAAATCAACCAGGGGGAAGGGGATATGATGAAGGGATCCGGAAGATATATAGTCAGTCTGTAGGCTCAATCCAGACACAGACTTCAACAGCTGACTAGGTGCTTCTCAACAGGGAAGTAGGTCTATCACCTTCATCTGTGCAAAGGTCGTCCTCAATTCCATATCCAACAGTACCATATCCTATAAATCAGCATGTTCGACGGATTTGAAAATAGTCTGCCTCCACGGCCAGTCGCCCCCGGAGGGCCAGCGGAGCGTCATTTCCATTGAAGGTTGTACGGACAAAGGCCTTAGAAAACCATCCAAAGCTGCTGCCCTCATAGAAAAGATTTCATTCATCCGTTCAATGATTTATGTATGATCTTATGTGATCCTGTACTCCGTATGGTCTCATATGATCTCGAATCTTCCAATTGCCGACCTCGGTCCAATATCAACACGTGATACGTAGAAATTCTCCCTCTTCCCTATTTAAGCTTAGCTTCAACGATCGGGAACAGGCCGGAAGCTTTCCTCAGCACAAACACAGTTTACGGTTACGAAAGATTCCTCTCCACCGAAAGTCTTTTCTGTCCCTCCATCAAATATTCAATTGACAACACTCTTTCTTCTTTCCACCACCACCACATAATATATTTTTACATCATGTTCGCCGCAAGAAGAGCATTGACTGGAGCAGTCCAAAGCAGAGCTTTCTCTGCTTCTGCTAGAGATGTAAGATTTATGTTCCATCTAATATTTCTTCTAGCTATTAACTTGGCTCCATTATGAACCTCCAACTAATTTTACTCAAAATAGCTCTCTAAAGTTACAGTTCTCGGTGCCGCTGGTGGAATTGGACAACCATTGTCTCTTCTCCTCAAGTTAAATCCTCGCGTTACTGATTTGGCTTTATACGATATCCGTGGAGGTCCAGGTTCGTCGGCACCATTTCTTACAACAATATTGTTGAGAAGATCAAAGTCGAAAAGGAATTAAATTTACAGATATGCTAATAGGATATTCAATTGAATAAATAGGTGTTGCAGCAGATATTTCTCACATCAACACCAAATCCAAGGTTACTGGATATGAGCCAACACCATCTGGTCTTGCCGCTGCTCTCAAAGATGCCGAAATTGTCTTGATCCCAGCTGGTGTCCCACGTAAACCGGGTATGACCCGTGATGACCTCTTCAACACCAACGCATCAATTGTTCGCGACCTCGCCAAAGCTGCTGCTGAATCTGCACCAAACGCAAACATCCTCGTTATTTCCAACCCAGTTAACTCAACTGTTCCAATCGTTGCCGAGATCTTCAAGGCTAAGGGAGTTTACAACCCAAAGAGACTTTTCGGCGTTACCACTTTGGATGTTGTTAGAGCTAGCAGATTCGTCAGTGAAATCAAGAAGACTGACCCTGCTGATGAGAACATTGTTGTTGTTGGTGGTCACTCTGGTGTTACCATTGTTCCTCTTTTCTCTCAATCATCTCACCCAGATCTCGTTGGTAACGAGAACCTTCTCAAGCGTGTTCAATTCGGTGGTGATGAAGTTGTTCAAGCTAAGGATGGTGCTGGATCTGCTACTCTCTCCATGGCTATGGCTGGTGCCCGTATGGCCGAATCATTATTGAAGGCTTCCCAAGGACAAGCTGGTATCGTTGAACCAACTTTCGTTGACAGCCCATTGTACAAGGATCAAGGTGTTGATTTCTTTGCTTCCAAGGTTGAATTGGGACCAGATGGTGTTCAAAAGATTCACGAAGTTGGAAAGGTTGATGCTGTTGAGGAGAAGTTGTTGGAGGCATGCTTGGCTGATTTGAAGAAGGTATGTTTTTCTGATTTTATCAATACCTTGTGCCATGTTTAAATATAAACTAACAAATTTCCTATAGAACATTCAAAAGGGTGTTGAATTCGTCGCCAAGAACCCAGGAAACTAGACAAATCCTCTTAAAACCTTTATGATCAAAATAATTCGAAAACCACCTACCAATCTCAAAATCCTAAAATGAATTTGGAATGAATCCTTGATTTTTTGAATTCCAATCAAATACTCGCGCTTTTATATCGCATGTATGTACACGTATGATGGAAGGAAGGAATATAGAAAAGATTTCGATTTTTAAATGAAATGGATGAAATGTGTTTGGTTATGATATCTGATTTTTAGCATGTATTATGCAAGCGATGTAAATTATAATGAAATGACTCTCCTCTATGTTATTGTATGTGTATCTCAGTTACTTCCTTATTTGAAAGTCTCCCTTGCCATGAATAGGACTTTAAGATTTGCACCTATGTTCCTTCACTTGTATTCCATCCTCACATTCCCCTCTCTACTAAAGGAACTAACATCAATACTAAACCTATAAGATAAAGATCTCCATTGCTGTATGCATTCTCTCTGCCTCTTCCCTCACTGATTACATATATTTATTACCTACTCATTTAATATTCTCTCCATTCTATTTATTGATCCCGCTTTATCCACTCTATTCTAACATTCTCACTTCCTCGGTATCTTAATACTATTCATCATTTATCATTTATTAATAATTACTTTGAACTCCGAATACTCCACCCTTCTCACCCTACTTACTGATCCTATCATTACTCAGTCGTATACTCTAGGTATTTTGTATTTTTTACATATTTTTTATTTCATTAAAGAGATTGAAATTGGAAAAAATGAAGAGTTTTAAGATTGAATATTAATTATAAGTTTAAGTTTAATTTTTTTTTTTTGATAATTTTTATTAATTTAAATATATTTTAGAATACTTTTATAAATATAAAGCTTTTAATATAATTTCAAAAAAATTTCTTAAATAGAAAATATGTTAAAGTGAATGGTTCCAGCCTAGCACGTGCACAGGGCACTAGTCCTATTAGGACTAGATTGAGAAGCTCTCTGTAGGAGAGCTTCACACTTCTGTAGAACTTAGTGTTACACCTGTTGCGATAGAATGTCACATGACCTTGAAAACACGTGATGGAACGGTGAGGAACGGACGTTCCTAGGAACAATCAGGAACGCCCGCTCCTAGGAGCAACGGCTCCAGACTAGCCATCGGCACAAAGGTCTATATAATCAAGATGGATTTCCTTTGTATAGAGCTTCGTGCTCAAGATCAAGATCAATCATTTAGTATACTCTACTATTAGTTACGAATTGCATATCATTATTGTCATTACTTTATGTCACACTCAAGAATACTGGGTAAAGTATCTTGTATTAGAAAATACTAAGCTAAGGAGAAAAGAAGAAGGAAAACAAGAGTAGCGATTGATTGATTGATTGATTGTGTTTATCGTCATAGGCCGTAGGCCCACGCGCCTTGGCGCGTGATAACCTTAGCCATCTATTCCAGTTTTGGACAAATGACGCTCAGAGGAGAAGCCTCTGAGTGGTTTACTAGCTAGCTAGGGGGAGTATTTATATACAATTTAAAGGGGGCTAGGGCAGGGTTTACATGATTGCCTTCGCAGGTGGGGTTTGAGCCGGTAGGCCTTTTGGGGTTGTAATTGTGGTCATCCTCGTCCACTAGATCACTGGCTCTTGATCTCTCTCCCTTCCCCTCATACTATTAAAACATTGTACTCGAAAACCCTTCATCCCTGATCCCCTTCCCGATACCATCAATCCAATTACTCCTTATATACCAGAACGTACTGTAATCGCCCACCGTCAGGATTGCCTCGTCCTCATTCTGATCATCCTGCCAATAGAAAGCTTATGAAGGAGCACCAATCCTCATATAGCGTAACTATAGCATGCACAGGTAGTGGCTTGTACGGGTGTCCCGATTCCGTAAGTAGCATACCTCCGCTGAATGAGAGCAGAGTAAGTTTCGTCATCAGCTCAGGTCCTTCAACAGTACTCCTCCGGTGTTCCCGTATGGAAGGTATATAAATTGTTGTCGTTTCAGTCGTGTCGATCATGGGAGGTATACAGTATATAACATATACGCGTCAAAGATGTCGAGTTGTACTATATGTTCCAGAGGAGTCTCACTTTTAAGAAGTGAGATGATTTCGTGGCGTATTGTCGTAGATGATGGTGTTGTCCTCTGTTTCGTAATAAAGGTAGTGTTGTAGAGAGCGCATTTCGATAATGCAACTGTCAAAAAACCGCAAACGGGTAAAAACGTCGTGATCGGGCGCCTCTTCCTCTTCCAATTACCACGACTCCATCAAATAACTCAAACTTAGCTCTGCAGACTCTCATAAGAGAGCTGGAGGTTCGTAGGATGCACCGCGTACAGGTGTTGAGTCTTCGCATCCCAACAAGAGTAGCGAGTTTTCCTATGATTAAATACAAACGGGGCATGCCACGTGACCCGGAGGTGTGAGGCGTCACACTTTAAGTCCCTGCTTGACGCCTAGTTATAAACCACCTTCGAGAGCCTAGAGCACTTCCACGTGATCTAGACGGCAAACCTCGTAACACTTATTTAATTTATTAAGATTTTTTAATATTATACTTATTAAAAAATAAATAAAGGATATAGTTTATTAATTATAAATAATTATTTTAATTATATGAATATAAAATTTATATTAAAATATAAAAAATTAAATATTATTCCCCCCTCGCTTCCTCTCATTAAAAAACCCACCTCTTATCAAACCCCCTTCTTCTCACCACCATGTCACGAATCACGGTTATTATAACACAATAAAAGCAAGTACGGCGGTTTTGGCCGCTGTTTCCGAAGGGGGTCCTTATCGATAAGGAATCCTAGGACAAGTGTCCTAGGATAAAATATGTCCCAGGATAACTAGTATCCTAGGACAAAACGATTAGGCAACCATGTAGGCTTAGGACAAGTGTCCTAGGACGCTATTCGTCCTAGAATAAAGTGTCCTAGGATAATATGTGTCCCAGGACAATTATCCTAGGAGCTATATTATCCCAGGATAGGAATCATCCCAGGATTAGTGTCCTGAGGCCTTTAAAGGATCACGTGATGGATAGACTAGATAACCTAGTCTATCCAGTCTAGGGGATAGCCCGGGTAGACCAGTCTATCCAGACTATCCAATGATATTCAGAAGTATATAGTTAAAATAGTTTCATAGTTTAGGAGCTTCGTGCTCAACTTAGTTATCAATTAGTTTATCTATATTCTACTTGATCTAGTAACGACTTCACTTCCAAGTGAAGACCAGTGATAAAGCCTTAACCCACAACTACCAACCAGACGAAACCTTAGGCAGCCGCTGCCTCCAGTACAGCATCGTTACACACCACCACCACCTCTAACAAACCAACGCTCTTTCTTCCCCTCCCCTCTCTCTGCAAAAATAAAAAACTGACACCATCCCCATCCCCGTCCCATCCATCTCCACCCCCTACTCAAATCTCCCAAAACCAAAAAACCCCACCCTAAAACCCCAAAAATCAAAAAATCAAAAACGATGGAGATGCCCGGGATCGAACCGGGGACCTTTCACAAACACACTATTTTATCTATATGTGTACCAACAGACATGCGAAGCGAACATAATACCACTATACTACATCCCCAATCATTAATCCGCTGTAATTTCATTCATTAAGCATAATATTCCTTGAGAAGCTCAAAGAGAAGAGGGGAGGGAGGGGCAACGGAGGGGCATTTTATTTTATTTTATTTTATTTTGGTGGTGGCGGGCTTGAAAATGGGGTAGTGGAGAGGAGCGGTGGAGCAGTGGAGTAGAGTGAAAACAGTAATATAAATGAGTGGGAAATTTCCTATTAATTTTGATTTTGATTTTGATTTTAATATACTCTGTACCTACTTAAATATAATCTTATTATAATCTTATTATTATACCAGTACAAATTTATGATTTAATTTATAAATAAACCAATTACCAAAAAAAAAAATACTAAGCTAAGGAGAAAAGAAGGAAAACAAGAGTAGAGGGTTTTCCTGTGATTAAATACAAACGGGGTATGCCACGTGACCCGGAGGTGTGAGGCGTCACACTATATTATTTATATTATTCATACCCTCCATATATAAACCACTAGACCAGACTAGACCAGACAACTACAAAAGCTTAAATAAATAAACATATAAGTATCTATATAATCTTATTTATATATCACACCATCGCCATATAAATTTGCATATAAGAAGATCTTATGTGTTATATGTAATCTTATCATTTCCCAACCTAACCCATTCATCCCATCCCATTCAATCCCAACCCATCCCATCCATCACACCGCAAACCACAGCCCACAATCCATCCAAAAACATCAAAGCCGTCCTCCCCCTCCAGAAAAAATTAACCCAAAAATCATAAGATTACAATCGTAAAGAATATTACCAAATAAACTACCATCAAGAATAAATACCATTCCTCTCCGTCCATTTCCCCAGCCCATCCCAGTCCATCCATCCATCCATCCCATCCATCCCATCCATCCCAACCCATCCACCTACCAAAAAATAAAAATAAACCAAAAAAAAAGACCAGAAAAAAAACAAAATTGATTTTATTTATGCCCAAAGAAAGAAACCTCACTCCATCACCCAAAAACCATCCTATCCCAACCATTGCCAGCAATAATATTTAGGAGAAAAAAAATTAAAAGTACCCTCTCATAGCATCCTCAAAACCTGTTCCTCCTTTCAGATCCCTATCAAATGCATTTGAAACATCCAAAACACGTTTAATATGTTCCATAGAAAGTGGTTCTTTATTGTTGACAGCGAGGGCTTGAGCTGTACGAATTGTGTTTTTAATCTAAAGTATTATGTTAATTATATCCTCAAATTAAAGAAAGGAAAAAGATTGAAACAAACACGAAAAAAACATACCTGTCTTCCATTCAAATTATTCCTAGCCAAAGCATTATAATCTTCTTCAGTAAAAGGCATTGTATCAATACCCTCCAAAACCCTAACTCTCTCAATAAACATCTTAAAAACACTCTTCTTTGCCTTTGGACTCAAATCTCCATATCTCAATGCGATATGAATTCTTGATTGAAAGGCATCATCAAATGTTTCAACCCTATTGGTAGTCAAGAAAAGAATACCTTGGAAATATTCCAAAAGTCTCAAGAAAATTGAAACCAAAGCATTACGATGAATATCCTGAATTGTTCTCCTCTCCAAGAAAACATCTGCTTCATCAAGAAGAAGAACTGCACCCCATGCATGAGCAATATCAAGGATCTTTTGAAGTTCTGCTTCAAGAGTCCTTGGATCGGTACCAAGTTCTCCAGCTGAAACCATGTATAGAGGACATTTAAGAAGTTCCGATATACCTTCTGCTGTGAGAGTTTTACCTGTACCAGGAGGACCATGAAGAACAGCCACAAGTCCTTTACCTTTGCCTTGAATAACATCATCGATACTTTCGGCTGGATGATATTTGTGGGATTCGACGAGAGCTTTGACAATAGCTTTGGTGTTGTCTTCCAAGACCAGAGAATCGTAAGCACCTTCATTCCAAACGATATCTTTGATACCTGAAACTGTGAATTCGAGCCAAAGCTTTTCAGCAAAAGCGAATCCAAGAACAACAGGAGAAGCGATTAGATATTCCTCATCTGTGAAGATAGGAAGAGATTTCTTATCATCTTCTGCCTGTGTAGTTTCATCCTTGTTGTCCTTATTGGTAATCTTACTTGGAACTTCATCCAATTTCTCAACAACAACTTCATTGCCATCTTCATCGACAGGAACTGAAACTAGATGAGGTTTCTCCTTTTCATCGAGAACAACCTTGAGCTTCATCTTTGGTTCATCATTATCTTCTCTCTTCTCCAATCCACGATCTCCTCGATCTCCTTGACCATCATCAGAATCGTCATCACCACAACAACCACATTCATAATCCTCGCTATCCGAATCATCGATAAGATCTGGATCATTAGGCTTGACGGTGCTGACGTTATAATTTGGTAGGATTCGTCGATGAATAGCAGGGTCGACCATAACTCTACCATCAATATTGACTTTGACAATAGACTTGCGCTTCTTGTAATATGCCATTCCTTTATGACTCTTGTAGTGAACGCCTTGTAATGCCACAAATTTCTTACCTCTCTCAATAAGTTCGGTACGAAGTTTGGCTTCATTTTTGTGATATTTCAAAGGATAACAATTAAGACTTGTAATCTTTCTTGCACCTTTGAAAGCTGGAACATCACAATCCATGGTACCTATAATGACGTTAGTGGATTATTTTGGTGGAACACACATGTAACATACCCATTCCCCACGTTTTTCCATCATATTCCAAATATTTACCCTCGATATTATACCAAGTGCCCTTCATGAAACTAATATTCTTTTCAGCCAATTCAATTTTGAAAGCTCTTGGCTCATCAATGGTTCCATAAGTTGTCGTATAAGCCAAGGTATTAGGCTTGTACAAGGCCCAGAGCAGATCAAATGTTATGATTCCAGTTTCCAACATTGGATAGAGGGTCTTTTTAGTCGAGGCATAATCCTTGTCGAGATATTTTAAAAGAACTTTGAGATGTTTTCTCTTGGTCTCATTTCTCTTTTTGAGCTTCTTCTTGCCTTTCTTTTCAGTAATCTTCTTGTTTTTCAATTGTTTGCAAGATTTTCGAAGGTCCTCCAAGTACAGGAAAAGGAGGTTGGGGTCAATGCATGGGGTCTCTTCGACCAAACTAACACCTTTGACACCATCCATAGCTTCATTGAGAGCTTCTTTCAAAAGTTTGCTCTTGATATCAACAACAGTCGCCTTTAGAATGTTAGCAGGTGATTAAGCAAGAAATCTGAAAGCATACCTTATATTTTCCCTCCCAATCAAATGTTCGGCGAACATTGAAAAGATATTGATCATATTCCGAACTCTCTTCATCCTCCGCAGTATCGGTAAGCTTGTAATTATGAATTGTGCTATCCCATAATTGATCGACTCTCTTGTATTCCAATTTGCTTCCTCTCTTTCTCTTGCCCTTGTCATTTTTAATCTTTTTTCCTTGATTCCTCTCATCCAACAGAAGCTTTCTACGTAAAGCCTGGTGCTGTCTTGTACCGGGAGGAAGGGAATTTGGTGCTGCAGGTGGAGGAGGTAGATTCCATACTGGTGGTAATTGTGGAGGGTGCGATAATGAAGATCTTTGGAGCTGTGCTTGAATTTGCATCAATTGTGCCTGAAGTTGAGCATTGGTAACGTCAACCACCTCATCGGCATCGTCATCGGCTTCGGCATCACCGGAATCGTCTCCATCCTCTTCATCTTCATTATCCGAATTTGATTCTGAATCGGAAGTTAAATCGGAGTCAGAAGTATCCTAGAGAATTTTAGTATTTAGCGTATTTAAAAATGGAACGAATTGATACCCACATCTTTCTTAGCCTTCTTCTTTGATTTAGCCTTACGCTTTTCCTTGAGCTTTTGTTTGGCCTTCAACTTTGCCTTTCTCTTTCTCTTCTCCTTTTCAGTTTCCGTCTCTGATTCGTCGGAGTCACTGGAAGAAGAGGAGGTAGAATCTAAATCCGACGATTCATCAATTTCGCTCTCAGACTCGGTTTCTATCACCTCTTTAGTTTTCTTGCTTTTGGATTTGTAACTCTTATCCGCCTTCTCCTTCTTAGATTTTTTGGCTTTGCATTGCTTCTCCGTGGCCTGTCGGGGCTTAACCTCAATCTGTGCAGTCGATGATCCTTCTCCCGTAACCACAGTCGCAGGCTCCTCTCTCTCATTGACTTGTTCACTACCTTTGCTTGAACTTGGGGTATCCATCTTGTTCGGCCAACCCTTTTCCTTTCTTGATCTTAATAACGTAGCCGTTGCGAAGAAAGATATTGGGAGGTTTAAATTGTTATGCAAGTTGGAATGGTGTTGTTGATGATTGACTGCCTAATTTGAGGTTTTATGGCGGCAAGATGTTATTTTGCGGTTGAATTATCGTACGGTTCAAATACAGTCAATGACCTAAGTTGATGAATCTGAGTTAGCCTGATTTTAGAATTGACTTGGATGAGCAAATCTTGCAGATTCACTGATTGTACCAAAGCCTTTTCTGCTGTATGTGCTAAGTACCAAAATAGCTGCAAATGCAGCTGCAGATGTAGTTGCAGCCGTGTGTTAAAGAAATGAAGTGTAACTCTTGCACGGCTACGGCTATCAATCACCAGATTGATTGTTTGCTGACGGATAGATTGATCATCAGACACTTACTTGGTACCTCGTGGGTATTGACTTGGTTTCAGCTGCTGCAGGTCGCCTTGATATCCGTGAATTGGTGATAGAAAGGTTATTGCCGAGTCAAATGATGATTCCTAATCACAAGTAATCTGGAACAGCAACGAGATGAGGGGTAGACGAGATATGTAAAGTTAAGAGGGTTGATGAACAAGTAGATGTTAGAAGTAGTCATGCAATGGTTGTAAGAGGGATGCAATAATGAAAGAAGTACAAAAGTAGCAGTTGACCTTTTCAAGATGGGGAATCTTTTCCTTCAAATAGAAATAAAAGGCTGAGGGAGTGAATGATGATTTTAAATAGGTAAATGCTTAGTTTTAATCGGTGTGACTGTCATGCATGTAATCCTACCTACCTACTGACTCTTTGGAAAATGGAGAATAGAGAATGAATTAAGAAGCTGACTGATTGATTGTTATTACCGTTACCGTATCTGTAGGGAATGTTGGAAATACAACTTTGAGTGGTAAATCCAATGAATGGCAGTTCGAATGAGCATCACATCACATATCACACATCGCGCATCGTACATCTCCCACCTCACACCTCACACCTCACAACCTGGTGAAGCTACCTTACGTGAAGGCTGAAGGCTGAAGCTCTTTCGTTTTGCCTGCAGAGCCGAGAGCTTGCCTGTTATCACTATCACTATCACAGTTAAATCCAGATGACACTAGAGCAATCAGGGTAGCATTCATCTATTTTAGAGTGGTTTTAGAGTAGTTTTGTGTGTGCTAGTGCGTATTAGTGTGTATTAGTGTGTATTAGTGTGCACCTTTAATGGTTCTTCCGCTGATTATGATTGGTTGATAGTAATGTCCACACCAAAGATCACTAAAAGAAGTATCCCTGTCCTCTGGCGTCAATCGACCCTGATGAAAGATGGCCCAAACTTCTTATGGAACGATGACAGAAACGAGGCTGAGCCTTTTGCACACCACCAAGATGAAATGTATGAGAATGACATCCACCGTCATGCCTACCTGGTACCTACCTACCTACCTACCTACCTACCTACCTACCTACCTACCTATCTACCTACCTAGTATCTACCCACTCTTTACTTCAATACGTTGACTTTCTATTCTACCACATTTCTACTGTTGAGTATATCAACAATTACACTTTCCCCGTCTTCCTGTACAATATCTTACAACATATCCCGACACCATCCTTCAATCCACGGTTGTTACGAATTTAAATGTTGCCTGCTAGGTACCTAGGTAGGTGGAGATGGCTTGTGAATCACAAACATCGATATCGGTACCGGTTGACCGGAAAGCGAGAGAGGACATCCTATCAATAACGAGGCAACTCAATCTCCACGGCTGTTACATCCTTTGCCCAATCCAACGAGGGACCAATTCAAAAGTCAAGACATAGGACATGGAATGGATAGTATCGTGTATTCAGCTAAACAGGGCATTCAACCCCTACCTTACTCATAGCCTATAGGTCTCAAAAGACATCCATCCTTCTCATTGACTCATTCTTTCGCACATAAATGCTTCAAGGCAACGGTAGGCATCAAATATATTAATGGAATTGGAACCATTCGTTTTTGTTGAGGCTGATGAAGAAATCCTGAACGGAATGAATCCGCCTAAGCTTTAATTACTAAGCTATTTCTCTTCTAACTCGGTGTGTGTTTCTTTGTACTCAATGCCTATCTAGTATTTTACAACACCAAATACACACATTCGACCATTGTCTCATGTACATTTCATATATTGAGGCTCAACATATATACTAGGTAAGTTACTTCTGTCGCCGAGTAGAATGATATTAATTCGTCACACCTAGGTATCAAAGGATCTCTGAGAATACAGTCACCCACCCACATGGTACCTAGGACTAATCCTGACTTGCATATTGTAAGTTTAATTCCCATCAATGATCATGTCCTCAGAATTAATCTCTTCTCTCGTCTAGAACTTCACTTCACACAGCCACAAATTATCATGTCAATACCCTTGGTGCGCTGAGTACAACATTTCGATTTTCCGAAGTCGGAAGAAAGGAAAGAAAATAACAGCCAACAACAGCACCAATACCAACACGCAGCAGTTCTGCAGTCTGACAATCACCGCATTTTGAATGCATACATATATCCTCATGCACAGGGAAGAAAAGAATCCTAGACGAGAGGCGAATGCAGCATCACCCATTGTACTTCCCACCATGTCACTTTCATCACCGTCCATCAGTATTCGACTATTCATTCCAAACTTTCTTCCTTTTTTCCCAAAACATACAACACAACATTTCATCCACCTTAGCCTACCCACTTTGGGTCATGATAATTTATTTCCCCGCCTTCATCAACAGAATTTGGAATCTCCATCAACCCGGATAATGAATATTTCCAAGAGATGCAAGACATCGTCGATGCATTTCAATAGATTAAAAGGATCTATTGATCTATCGCCTTGAAATTGCTCTTCGTCCAACATACATCCCAACATAATTGCATAATCTATCACTTTTTCAACTTTTTCCGAGATTTATTTTTCACTACAGTTCGTACTATTTTATTGCATCCAGTACCATTGTTTGATGTTTCTCGACATACCGGACATTCATGATTTTCTCAAGGAATTCTATCTCCGAAAAAGTACCCCGCCAAGTCAATCCTTTCCCCCTATCATATGACACATTTGAACTTGTGTATGGTGTATGGAAGTGCCAAGTTACACTACATTAGTCACCCCAGCTGTACTAGGGTTAACTTGTGTTTGTTTGTGAAGTACAATACTTCTATTTGCCTCTCAATTGTTCTGATTTTTGATCATTGCACATAATCGCTATCATTCCGCATTCTTCTATCTATCTTCCTGCATATAATAATGTTCTGTTCTGTTGGGTAATAGACGATTGCATATTATATGAACTGTGCAGGTACCTTTGAGATTGCCATGAAAATATCGCTTTGAGGATTTTCAATATCACAACATGAGAACAAAGATTTTGATCTCTTATTATTCCACAACATCCGAGTAGTTTACAGAATCTCTTCAATCTCGTATCGTCAGATCAAATATTCCTGATACATGATCTATTTCTTTCCTCTGCCTGATCACATTCCGATTATTTCATTTATACTTCTCCTACAATATCTCGAGAAAACCTTGATAATATCGTCCCAGTTCAACACAACATCCAATCTTCCCACAAATCTCGATACACATCGATTTCGAGCACAGATTATCACAATTACGACAGCATCAATATCTAATCACAGTTCTTCCTGTGACATGCTGATGTGCATTATCTCATCTCAATCGCCTATTTCAAGATCGTAGGAAAGTGCCTTTAACGCATCTATTCCGATCTGTGCCTGAATTGGAACATGCGGAACCACTTTTGTGTATATTACTACGTCACTTTGATCAAGATACATATATCCAATATACGATTATTGGTCTGGAGCAAGAAACCCGAAAATACCATCATTACGTTTGATCTTCCTTTTTAACATCGATCTTCCGACGGCATCTGGGGCTACCTATCTTCAGAGTAGTCAGACTATAGCCGTTTGACACTGCATCGCCCCATGACTTCATTTTCATACGTCCTTCATACCACCGGATCTCATAAATCTTGAAACAATTTATCTTCTACCTTATCCCAACGATAAAACATATTATCGTAGGTACTTGCCAGCATGTTCACCGCATCATCTTATTGAAGACAATTTCAAACAGAAAATCTTTGTGAGACTGAGATGGTTTCTAGGCTCGTGACATCAGTTTTCTGATGCTGCAGCAGAGTTGCAACACAATATATCAAGATCCGATGGATCTAGATATCAAATCGAGATATACTTGGATATCACAGCATGAAATAATTCCCAATCACCACATTTCTTTCTTTCCATTTTCTTCCTCATAGTCATTCGCAAGAAAACCACAACCATTTTCATACGCACTTAGTTTATTGACGTTGAAGGTGATATTGGGTTTGATTTTAGTTACCCAGTAGCTCAGGCTCCAACAAGCTGGGAAGATTAGAAAGAGACTATGTCGTTTTGTTTCGGGCACATTCATAATTCTTTTCGTGATCGTATGTAATTAGTAGTACGATTCTATCTGAATATTCCCTCTTGAAAGTCGATGTTGATAGAGAAAAGAGAAGAGAAGAGAGATGACCTGGCCAAGCCTTTCAAATACCAGCAACCAGTCATCGATGATATTCGCCTCAGCATATAGAGTCAAAAGTTCAATTAGGCTTTCTTTGTTATTCTGACAAATCTTACCGCTCATCATTGACGCTCCGTCAGAAGTGCCGTCGTAGTTATGATGTTATCCTTGAACATTTTTTACTCTTTATATGCAAATTTTGGCAGTCGGAAATCATTACCTTACACATGTCGAGCACTAATCCTACTGGTGAATTATTACCTGACTAGGTTTCACGAATTATAAATATTACCATGCTATTGGTAAAATACTGATTCTCCCCAGATCTTACCATCAAGTCAACACTCGTGGAGATTCTCACGACCCGATGGTTACTCTTTCAAAATCATAGATGACCTCACGAACACAAATACTTCACATGCTCACATTGGGCGTATTGAATGTGTTGTACGGCTGTTAAGTTCGCCTTGATAGTTATTTATGAATATCAACGATTAATGAATTATACAGGCTCCCTCTCATCTTCCCGAAGTATCCATAACGAAGTCCTCTTTCTTTAGGAATCGCAAGACCGAAGATCCATCATCAGTTTCGATTCCACCCAGCTCGTAGCACAAGTCCCAGGGTGAACATTCAGCCAAGAATAACGCAGCTCTTTGTTTTGGCCACTGGTAAGCGATGGAGAGGGTGGTCAATGCTTGTCGCATGGAATCCTGATGCATATTGAGATCTAGGATCTGGTTGAGAACTCGCACATTCTTCTCTATCATACCTAACTTAGTGGCTTCGTCCCATGAACTATCAATCACTTTCAACTTCTTATCTATTATTTGCGAAAGGCGATCGGGATCCATGTTCGTGAATTTCATCTCAAGGGTCTTGTATATTAAAGGTGTACAATATTGTTCGTACTCGGCCGTTGTTATCCAAGATTCAAATTCGCGATTGAAGTAGATGCAAGCGTCCAGCAAATCAGAGCAACCTTCGAAAACCGCCTCTTCATGGTTGAAATGCATAAAATCAGCAAGTCGAAATTCGTCAGGTTGTCCTGAATTGACATTGATAATTCTCTTCATTTCCCTCATCAATACAATGCTTGCAGCCGGACGTCGTATCAAATCTGAGATTGTCCCCGGACCCTTCGGTACACTACGACTGAAGCTAGAAGCTTGATCAAGTAGACATTCGAAAGTATCTTCGTCTCTGATCTCGTAACCTCCGGGGCGAAACACCTTCATCGCACGGATGAATTTGTCATCTTCAAGATAGTCGAGATGGTGGACATCTTGCATCCTCGCACAGAGAGAGTAAAGCTTCAAAAATTCAGCGCCATCTCCATTTTTCTCATCTTCGACCAATATGTGCGTCACGAGCGCCACTTCGACGTCCGTGTCATCATAGGCGGGAAAATTCTCTTGGAGATGTTTGAATAGTTCGGGTGTGTATTCGCGATTTGTTGCGAAAGGTGTCTTTGCGAGGAAATCCTCACTGTTCATGTAATTGTGGATGAGGTGGAATAAGATGGTTTCATGTCCGCTTACCATGCTACGGAGATTTTGGTTGGGAGGGGCCATGTGGTCGACTTTGACGGGGAGATTGCGGTATTGTGCTGTGCTTTGGGAATTGACCATGGTGGATGGTGGTTTGGGGATTTTTTGGGAAGAGAGGATTTAGTTATGTGTATGTTTGTGTGGGGTAGGGTTGTGGTAATGTTTGGATGTTCGATGTTGTTTGATTTGGAAATTTGATGTGGATGGTTGGGAAGGGGGAGGAAGTTGATGAAGTGAAGGAGAAAGGGAAAGAGAAAAAGAATGGGAATGATGAGCCTTTTATACATAGCAAACTAGACTGAAAAATAAATCATATGTGTCTGTTCGAGTCATGGATTTATTTATTTAGTCATCGGGGTTTGTTGTTATTTATTGTAGTTCAGTGTTATTCATATTCATATTCATCATAATTATCTGTTCACACCACACTACATCAGAACCTTCCAAATCAAATCAAATCTGATAAAAATAAAAATAAAACAAAAAATCAATTATTAAGATCTTTATTTATTGTCTGAATAGATAATTATATTCAACATTCCTCAACAGAAGAGTATAAAAATAAAATAATAGATAGATAGATAGATAGATAGATAGATAAGATTGTATATAAATATTATATCATTAACTCAGAAAAATAAAAATGTAGTGAGTGATATATAAATGATATTAGTAAGGAGAAGAATATAAATAAAATAAACAATTAAATTAAGAATAGATAAGGGGATGAGCTCGAGGGAAGAATTTAAGCGGAAGAAGGGAGATAAATTTAAAGAAATTGTAGAGAGAGATTTAGATTAAATTTGATGGGTTGAGTTTGAGTTTGTAGAAGTTGAGATATTTGATAAATAATAAGGTGATAAGATGAATAGGTGAATAGGTAGATAGTTTTATTAGTATAAATTAATAATATAAAGAATATATATTTATATAACGTAACGTATGGGGAACTCGGACATATGGGGAACTCGGACACTTTTTGCCCATCGCCAACTTGAAACCCTAATAACTTTTATTATGTATACCCAATCACCTTTTACACCTGCTCAGATTGAAGAGAAGCTTCAACAGACTATAGTTGCACTTCAATTAAAAGAATTTAAATCAATTAGAAAGGCTGCAGAGCATTTTGAAGTCCCTAAGTCCATTCTAGCCGATAGGCTGGCTGGGAAGAAAACATGTTCCCAAACCTACGAAATAGCTCAAATTCTTTCAAACGCAGAAGAAAATACTCTTGTACGATGGATTTCACGACTCACGATTACTGGATTCCCTGCTACATCTATATTGGTGAAGGAAATGGCCGACGAAATTCGTCTTCGATACATTCAGGTCGCGTTATCTCAAATTCCTACCTCGACAGAAATTCCATCTATAGACCACAAATGGATCTATAGATTCCAAAAACGATATCCAGAACTTAAAATATACTATTCACATCAATTAGAGTTTAATCGGGCTAAAGAGGCAATTCCGGAGAATATTCAGATTTGGTTTGATGTGTTTTGTATATATCTCATTGAACGAAAGTATAAATTAGATGATATATATAATATGGACGAAATTGGATTTGGAGTTGGAAGTACTTAAAGTATGCGCATTATAGTCGATTCTACTTAGAAATCGAATTGGAAAGTTACAGCTGGTAAGCAAGAATGGATAACTGTATTTGAATGTGTTAATACAGTTGGCAAGAATGGATAACTGTATTTGAATGTGTTAATACAGTTGGAAAGGCTTTATCACCTATAGTTATTTTCAAGGCTCAGAATACGAATTCTGTATGGATTTTAAAGGATATACCTCAAAGCTAATAGTTCTTTATTAGTACAAATGGATGGACCTCAAAAGTCATGGATTAGAATGGCTAAAAAGGGTTTTCGAACCAGAATCCAAGAAAGTGTCAGATGACCGACCTCGACTTTTGATTATAGATGGCTATTCAAATTATATTACAAGTAGCTTTATTGCTTTCTGTATAGAGAAGGATATCGATTTACTTATATTACCTCCTCATTACTCCCACTTGCTTTAATCACTTAATATTGCAATATATAGGCCAATGAAACGATATCATACTTTGGAGGTCGATCGATATTCTCGAGCTGGTGTAAAGCGAATTCAAAGAGCTGAATAAGTAGAACTCTTTCAAAATATTAGAAAAAAAACATTGAATTCTTCTAATATTAAAGCTGGTTGAAGAGAAACTGGTTTAGTACCTTTTGCCCTACAAAAAGTACTCGATATATTACTATTTAACTTCTCCCAGTAACCTTCTACTCCACAAATGAGAACCCCTAATCAAGACCTAGACTTATCTGTACTCAGAAGTTCTCCTCCAGATGGAACAGAACTAATGCAAGCAAATCAGATCTTTAATACAGCTCTAGCAAACAGTGGTTCTCCTGTATCACCAATTCGTCGATATGCCAAGAGAATGACTAGACTTGTAGAATCTCAAAATGCTGAGATAGCCTTACTTCGGAAACAGCTCGCTGATGCTCAGGAAGTAATTGAGACTCGAAAAAAGAGAACTAAAGGCAAAAGAGTCAAATTACAAGGTCAATTTGTCTTTAGTATTAAGGAAATACTGAAAATAGTACATGAGGCGGAGGAAAAACCTAAGGAGAAAAAGCTACGAGGACGACCACGCAAGCGCCCAATTGAAGAATCAGAAGAAGAGATTGAAGAAGAAGAGCTAGAGAATAGTTCAAATGATTCAGAATTGGAATTGGAGGATTGTGTGGCTCGTAGAACAAGATCGTGTGTAGAATAATTGAAAAAGTGTCCGAGTTCCCCATACATTACGTTATATATTTATCAATTTAATAATATATCCATCTCTTTAAGTTCTTTCAAGACTTTTTCTTTTTTTTTCATATCATTATATCACAGAGCGGTGGGGGGGTGTGTGACGGAAATCCCTGCTTTCCTCCCACCTTTATTATATAAGAAACCTCAGGTACATTAACCATGTCCACACATGATACGATTACTCGAGATTAGTATGCGATTTAGGTGACCTGAGGATCAGATCCGGACAAGTACTAGGTATCAATGGTTATCGGTAAAGTAAGATCATTGGAGGAATAAATATGACTTCTTTTTGCCTAGCCATTGCGGCTAGGCCATTCATTTGTGTATATATAGAGTAGCTATCCCCATCTACAGGTGCTCTTCACCTGTAGATTCTAAGTTAAATACAATTGCTGGTCTATAAACACCCTTTTGGTCACAGGGTGGATTAGATGATATATATGATATATTCTTGAAGTAATAAATGATGATAAAGAGATTTATTTTCTGTTTGTAGTAGTATAATATATAAATATAATAAAATATAATATTAGCCCTTTCTTTCTCTCATTCTCTCATTCTCATTTCTATCTTTATCTCCATCTCCATTCCCATCTATAAATCCACTCCCGGACCTTCAACTTCCTCCCTTCAACTTCCTCCCTTCCTCTCCTCCCCTACTCTCACTTCACACACACAACCCTCTTCCCCCTCCCTTAAAAAACCCAAAAAACATCAAAGAAACTACACATCAACACCCACTCCCCTCTCTTATAAACCCAAACCCAAACCCAAATCAAATCTTCCTATCCTCCCTATCCTCCCTATCCTCCCTATCCTCCCCATCCTCCCCATCCTCCCTATCCTCCCTATCCTCCCTATCTTTCCCATCTTTCCCATCTTTCCCATCTTTCCCAACCCTAAACCCAAACCCCATCCCCAACTCCAAACATCCACCTTCACATATACCCTCAAACCAACCCCTCTTTCTACTCTCTAAAACCCCTCCGAACTCAATAATCTCAAAACAACAATTTGAAAAACAAAAAACAGAAAACTTTCATTCGATCTCATCTCCTCTCCACTCCACTCCACTCCAATCCTCCAATTCTCTCTAATTTCCCTAATTCAGGCTCCTTTATCCTTTCTCAAATCCATAACTCTCTCAAATCCTCACACCCTCAACTCTCTCAAATCCTCACACCCTCAACTCTCTCAAATCCCTCCACCCTCAACTCTCCCAGACACAAACACAAATACAGAAACTTTAATATTAAGATTACAAATAAAATTCCAGAGACTCAACGAGTTTAGATTTAAAGGAATTAAAGAATGATATCGATATTCATTTACCACTCATCAACAAATCATTAACAAGATCACTTATACACACTCGAACAATCAAATCACCATAAAATCCATAACATTGCATCCGAAGTATCTATTTCCGATCTATCTTCTAAAATGCAAATACTCAAGTAGAAACTAATAAAATTTTATCTTGACTTTGAAACTCATAATTTCAACCATGTAAAAAAAAAAGATTCGTAGTCAAGATGAGGTAAAAAACGAATAAACGCCAAAGGACCGACCATACACTATGATGATGACCAGTTAAAGTCTCAAACCATAAGTGAAAAGTTAAAAAAACAAAAAAATGACTCGAAATATCTTTTCGTGACCCGAGTTTTCCTCTTTGTCTTGCCCATCCATTTTAAATATTTCGTCTATTCCACAACATCAATCATCATCATCATCTATGACGTAAACATTTATTCATCCTCATCAGTGAAAACTTCCTCTCCTCTCTTACGGCGGGCCATACGGTCCTTCTTCTTCTTACGGAGTTCAGCAGAAGAGAGCTTGGCCTTCTTCTTGGTTGAAACAATCTTGTTACCCATCTAAATAACTAGTTAGTGACAATTTCAAAATTTTGATAAATTTTGACTTACGGCATCGAATTTTTCCTCTTCTTCAGCATCATCACCCTTAAGTCTTGGTCCGGAACCTTGTCCTTGCACCCAGTTATGTCCTGATGGCGTCATCTTACCGTCGACCACGGCCCAGACTTCCTCAGTGATGTTCTTGGTGAACTCAGCAGAGTGAGTAATGATGATGACACCACCCTCGAAGCTCTTAAGAGCCTTGGACAAAGCACCGAGAGAGTCACGGTCCAAGTAGTTGGTAGGCTCATCAAGAACGATGAGATGAGGACGTTGCCACGAGCAAGCAGCAAGGACGACCTTGACACGTTGTCCACCAGAAAGACCCAACATACGGGAGTGAGAAACCAATTCAGCATCCAAACCGAAGTTAGCGCAGTGCTGTTCAATTTCCTTTCTAACCAAAGGTCTGAATTGACCACTGGCAAGAGCTTCCTTTTGATCAACTTCAGCAACCATCTTTTGATGAGAAGCCAAAATTTCAGTACGTGGAATCCAGGCGTTGTCTGCAGTCATCATAGGTGTCCATCTCTCGTTCTTCATGCCAACGTTCTCTCCGAGAGCGAACGAACATTCATACTCATAAGAGTTCTTGAACTTACGACGAGAGTGAATACCAATAACACGACGTTGAGTACCTTCAATCTTGTAAATCTTGTCCATTGCCTTTTCATCCTCATCGGTGACGATCTTGTTGGCTCTGTCCATAGTTTCACGATCTTCACCAGTTTGGAAACGCCATTGAATATATTCGGATGGAGTCTTCTCGAGATGGTGATCGATGTGGGCGAAAGCGTGTTGTTTGATGTAGGCGATACGGATGTTCTCGTGGGTGTAAACCTCACCGACAGTTGGAATCAGTTCACCAGTGAGAACGTTAATCAAGGTAGATTTACCGGCTCCGTTAGGACCAATGACGGCAATACGGGAGCCAAGGGAACATTGGAAGGAGATATCTGAAATTTGTGGTTTTGGAGTACCCTCATATTGGAAGGACATTTTGCTAACACGAACAATGGCCTTGGCCTTGGTCTTGACACCCTCGAGGAAACCTGGCTCAGGGAACTTGAATTCCATCTCGGAAGCACCAAGCTCATAGTAAGACTTGGCTTGTGGGCACTTCTTGACGAATTCCTTCAAGTTACCGCGGTATCTCTTGAGCTTAAATCGCTCGTAGTGAATGATGTGTTGACAAACGTTGTCCAAGAAACCAGAGTCGTGGGAAACGATGATGGAGGTACAAGGAGAGTTTTGGAGGTAATCTTCAAGCCACTTGACGTTCTTGACATCCAAATGGTTAGTAGGCTCATCCAAAAGTAGAATATCTGGTGCCTCGAAAACAGCACGGCAAAGAGCCAACTTCATCTTCCATCCACCGGATAGAGCAGTGATCAAGTTGTTGGTCATCTCTGGAGTGAAACCAAACTCTTTCAATTGCTTCTCGACCTCTTCTTGGGAAGTCTCGACACCGACCTCCTTAAGCTTCTTCATGGTCCATGCAATGGTGGTTTGCTCAGTATCAGCGGAGTCGAGATCGTGCTCGACGAACACAGTCTTGACCTCACTCTTCTTTGGGAAACCCTCGACTTGCTCGTTGTTAATGGCACGCATGAGAGTAGACTTTCCGGAACCGTTAGGACCGCAAAGACCATATCGTTGACCACGCTTAAGACGGAGATGAGTTTGGTTGAGAAGAATCTTGGCACCATATGCCAAGTTGAAGGTACAGTTGCAAAGATCCTCACCTTCTTCATCATCAGCTTCTTCAGCATCCTCAGCCTCGGCACCTGGGGAGGCACGCTTGCGGAGGGAGTCAACAACTGATTGTGCCTCCTTCTCACCAGCAATTGCGACGATGAATGGCTTGAGGTTGGAGGTCCAGCTGTGGGAGTCGGCATCCTTCTCGTCAATGAGTTGACCAGCAATGGCGGAGATGTATGTGATGATTGGCTCGAATTTGAGAGCGTTCTTGTTGGAGCTAAGGATGTCCTTCAGGATAGCCTCAACAGTGGAGACGTTACCAGCGTTTGATGGTTCTGGGATCTTTCCATCAGCGCCAACGGCACCGACACGCTTGATGGTGTCAAGACCTTGCTTGGTCTTTTCACGTGCTTCAGGATCAGCCAAGTTCTCGTAGTTCTTGATAAGACCTGGCATCAATTTTGGCAAGAAAGCAGCGACGATGTTGGGGTCCTCGACCAACTTGCACATGTTGTCAATGATGACGGCGGACTTTCTCTTAATAGCAGTCTCACGCTCAGCAAGACCACGATCCAAAAGAGGAACCATGATGGCTAAAGTTGGCTCGTGAACATCAGTGACGAAAGTGGTGGCACCGAGCAAGTGAACAGTCTCCGGGACGTTCTCTGGCTTGGCGATACACTTGATCAATTCTGGAATGAAACGCTCAATATCCTTGTTGACGATAAGTCCACAAACCTTCTCCATGATGCTGTAAGCTCTCTTCTTGACTTCTGGCTTGGTATCCCACATCGATTCGGAAACGACTGGGATGAGATCTGGGACTCTGAGAGCCAATTGAGTTGGTGCTGATTCGACGAGAGCCTCGATACAATCAAGACCAGCCATCTTTTCGGGCCATTTTTGTGCGGTGAGGATGGAGTTGATGATAGGTGGGAGGACAGCCTTGACAGCATTTGGGTTGACAGCCTTGACGATGGCCAAAGCAGCTGCTTGTGCGGCGTTCTTAACTGGGACCATCTTGTCACCAACGGCGGCAAGGACGGCGGAGAGGAGGACGATGAGGTATGGTTCGACGGATGCAGAGACTTCGGAGTGCTCAGCAATTGCCTGAATGGCATTGAGAGCGCGTTCTCTAACGTTAGCATCCTTCTTGTTTGCTAATTGCTTTTGCAAAGCTTCGACAGTTCTGCAAAGGACACATTGTTAGTAAAGTTGAAAATGAAAATTTGAATAATCAAGATTCGAAGTGCGACGGTCAGATTACCGCCTCGATATGAAGATTGAAGCAAAGGACATCTCCAAAGCAGCATCTTTGCAGATATTCAACTCTGATAGATGCCATTTCTCCTCTTGATGAAAATTTGAATGTTGAACGTGGAAATACATACTTGGTGGGGGCATCATTCTCCTCGATGCCACCGTTAATGAAAACGGCGAGATTGTGAGTGGCAGCATTAATGTCGTTCTGCTCTTTCGAAACAGACAACTTCGACATTAAGTCATCTAAGACCTTGATCGAGTTCTTATTTTCAGCCATCTTTCCTGTTGTTGTTGGGTTCGATGGTGTTTCGATAGAAGGCATTGTAAAAGAAGAAAAGGAAGAGGGGGGTGAGAGAAAAGTTGTCGATAAGGATTTGTGGGAATGAAATTTTTGCTTAGCGCGAAACTTTTCCGTAGTAATCGATGCGGTGGGTAACAGTGGAGAATTAATGGTAATCTCGATATTTGATTCGATCAATTCTATTATTCACTAGCATATGATAATGCGGGCAAAGGTGGCGGATGAGTTGTGGATGGGATGTAGAGGAATAGTACTTTTTGATAAAGAATTCTAAATTAAATTATTGAGAAGAGATGTTCTTTTTGATCTTTTGTTGTTTTGCCAGTACGGAAGACGACAGAGAACAAAAAGACTTGGAGAGAAAATCAGTCAAAGGAAGAAAAATGAGTAAGGAAGATTTAAAGGAAGGGGGAATAGCTATTATTGAGAGAGTTTTGCATCTTTTCTATTTTCTGAAGTGGCACACACACACTGCATACAGTAAGGCACTAGGTAGCATCGATCAAAATCATTGCATCGCTTAATTACTTAGCTTGATTATCCGGTGTGAGAGGCAATGAGAGCGTATGGAGTAGAATAAGGGAATGTTTATTCTTATTTTTAACTGTGTAACACAACTTCGATACCATTGTAACATCTGCACTGACTATACTCTTCGAGCGCAGCGAGCTTGAGGGTCTGGGGGCTTGCCCCCATAAAGAAGAATCATCGAGGAGTGAGTGATGGTAATTATATGGCTCTCTCTTATACAATGGATCAGTACAGTGTTAATAAACCTATATGTGTAATTCCCTTCATCCCTCTGAGTTTCACTGAAATATAGCACTATTATGAATATATCCCAGACCTCTACTACATCAAAAAATAACACGACTTAGCTCATTTATTCCTATTTCAAAACAAACTTCCAATCTATAAAAAACCGAACAAATCATATCTCGACATCAACACCACGCCTCTGCGGCGACACCGTAGGGCAGAAACTACAAATTAACGATCGGCAGCTCACTACTACCTTTTTCCGTGAAAATTCTTTAAATTTAAGGTAGGTGGCTACTTTTTGTGAAAATTTTATTAGATGCCTATTTACTTGCATTCCTGAGGAAATTTTTTTATTAATCCATGAGGCAAAGGTTCTTGATGAAACTTCTAGATCATTATTGAAGTCAAATTGAGGTTGAGGCGATACCTACGGTACTTACTTATTATGTCGGATAACGAAAGAAGGAGAAGAAGAGAAGTCAGCAAAGATTTGTTCCTTTGATAGGATGAAGATACCTAGTACCTAGGTAGGTATATATTTTACTGAGATTACATTGCCCAAAAAGAATTTATTTACTAATAAGATATGTAAGGCAATAAATATACTTTGATGATATAACAAGCTGTATATTTCTTCGTATATGTAGACAGAATATATAATTATCCAAATCTATTCTTGCTAGTGCCAGTTAAGGTTACATATACATATAAGCCAAGAAGGGCACCCCGTGTATTCAAAAATCTCAGCCCCGAGAACAAATGGTCTACCCGAGCTGGTGAGCGTATCTGACATCTACGACTACCTCGATCAAAAATAATAATCATCAATCAGCCTTCGAAATTCAGTCGGCCAACCTATACGGATAGATCCCTTGCCACCCCCTAACTATCAAGTTATAAAATCTCCTCCATCTCTCCCCCCATTCCTCCACTTACTCTTTTCTATATAAGTCTAGTACCCTGTTTCTAGGCCACCCCTAATATAGGCCACCCTTTGTTACGACGGCTTCGGATCTCGTATCATGTGACCAATTATGTAATCACATGGTCCCTTCGATCCCCTCGGTCTCTTGATCGAAGGGACCGAGGGGACCAAGGGGACGATTAGCATGAAGGTCTATATAACCAAGATGGATTTCCTTTGTATAGAGCTTCGTGCTCAAGATCAATCATTTAGTATATCCTACTATTAGTTACGAATTGCATATCATTATTGTCATTACTTAAGTCCCTGCTTGACGCCTAAGTTATAAACCATCTCGAGAGCCTAGAGCA